GTTCTTCTTGTGTGTATGTGTGTGTGCGAGCGTGTGTGTGCGTGCGTCGTGTGTGTGTGCGTGCTTCTGTGTGTGTGTGTATGTGTGAATTTGTGTGTATGGTATAGATATATATAATAATATAGTTTGTGTTCTTTATTATTTTTTTTTTTTACTTTTGTACTTTTTATTTATATTTATATGGTTATTTATTTAATTCCAGACTATATTTTCTATTTCATCGTAACTTTTGGCTTTAAGCCAAGTAACTAGAGTCTTTTTACATTTATGATAATTGAGTGAATATATATCGAGTTCTTTATTTAAATTGTTATATATTTTTGATGATTGACTGGTGTATTGTCTTTTTGCATATGTAGTTTTAACTGTCATTGTATCAGCTACTTTGTGTTTTCTTCTATTTTTATTCTTTTCAGGATTATATGTTAGCGATTTATGTTTTTTTAATGTAAGTTGAAGTACATATAATTTTCTTACTGTCAGAAGATCGGTTATTAAGTAAAGGCTTTCAGTAGGGAACCGAAATGGTTTAAAGTACATCACCTTTAACAGCGATCTCTGTGCCCTTTCTAGTTCTAGAAATTTTATTTTTGTTGCCCCTCCCCAAATTGCTAAGCAGTAAACAAGGATAGATTGAGCCAAGGAGACATAAATTCGCTGCAATAAGGTTTTTGTAGTAATATGACGTAGCATTTTAAATACCCAAATAAGCTTTCGAATTCTATTCATAATTATTTCAGAGTGTTGGTGCCAAGATAAACGCTGATCGATAATTACTCCCAGGTATTTGGTGTTATGTACCTTATTAATTGTAGCGCAAGAACAATTTATTTTGATTTTGTGGATCTTTATATTAAATATATTTTGTGGTTGTGTACGATCATAGTTAGTAAAACAGATAGTTAGATTTAATGGCATTTAAAGTCAGTAGATTATATTGCAGCCAATCCGCTATTTTAGCCAGTTCGCTCTCAGTATGTAACTTTACTTGTTCCCAAGTCTCTCCTGTGAAAATAACAGCTGTGTCATCAGCAAATGAAATAACTAATCCCACTTCTAATGCCATGTTACATAAAGTATTAATATATATAAGAAACAGTGTAGAATTCCTTGCGGGATCCCGTACTAACTGTTTCTTCTGTTATAAATTCATCTTAACCCTTTGTTTCCGTTCACATAGGTAGTCTTTAAAAAGTTTAAGAGGTATTCCGCGCGGTTTGTAAACGGAAACAGTGTCAAAGGCTTTTTTGATATCAAGGAAAACAGTTAAACACTCAACGCCTCTGTAATTTTAGTTCAAACTGCGTCCTCAGTAAAAGCCCCTGTCTAAAACCGAATTGATAATATATTGTATTTAGTTATATAATTTGTTAACCGGTTGTTAATTAATTTTTCTAAAGTTTTTGAAATAGGTGTTAGAAATTGGCCTGTAATTTTCGTTTGTTAGTACACAGGCGTTATAAGAGCCTGCTTCAAAGCGTTAGGGAAGTGATTTTGTAAAATATTTAAAGTACTTAGAAGATAGATATTAAATTATATTGTTAGTCACGTCCATAGTGGCTAACGGCCGCGATCTAGCTGACCAACAAAAACACTGTGCGCCCAACCCGTCCGATGCGGCGTTTTTTACTGGCGGCCACTCGGCTGCGAGTGAGTTTGATGGAGAGCCGCCGCCCGCCGCCCGCCCGCCCGCCCGCCGCCCGCCGCCGCGCGTCAGCGTTTCATCTCATGTTTATAACCCTTCCCTCGCTGAGGGTCCGCATTTTTTGTTTTCGTTTCAGTGCGTCGCGTGGCCGGACTCTCTTCTGCTATTGGTACTCGTTATTTTTCCTTCTGGGACGTTAATTGATTCTAATATATTTCCTATATCGATAATTTCAACTGTTAATGCTTTATTATGTATTTTTTTATGGGTGATAATGCTATGGTAACCCCACTTGCGCTATCGGTATACACCGGCGGGGCACCAGTGAAAGATGATAGGTGAGGATGAAGTAGGTCAGTTAGCCCATCGTGACAAATTCAACAAGAATTGTTCACGATGGTTTCCAGGGGGAACCACGTGGAGGTCGACCTAAAAAAGCATATTGCTAGCAATGGGGCTGTGAAACTGTCTGGTCGACCTCCACGCGGTGCCATCATCGTTAATCTTGTTAAATTTTTCACGGACAACTGATCCGCTTTCATACTTACCTATCCCTTCATTATGTATTATATAATATTTTCATTAAAAACTCACGCGACGCGGATGTAGCGAGAGATGATACATGAGGATGAAGTCGATTGGCCCATCATAGCGAATTCACTGGTAATGATGTCTAGATGATCTGTCTGGAGGTAGACCTGACAGTATTATACTGACAACCACTTCTACTAAATTCTAAATTAATTATATCTAAATCGAACTCCACTGTACACAAGCACGTCACGTGCACATACACACACCCAGAGAGAGAGAGACATATATATATATACAGTGGACCCCCGGTAATCCGGCAAACATTATGCAGGGCAGTGTCGGACTATCGAATTTGTCGGATTATAGACCTGGACCCCTATAGTCGATTTTTTTACGAAAGAGTACCTCCGACAAATTACATATCTAATGACGAGTCTATACTATATTATACGTACATGGAAACCATCATCGAGAGCTTAATCTTGTTAAATTTTTAATCAAAATCATGGAATACATATCAAATTATGAAGCTTTGAAATACATATTCATCAATTTTTTTTTTGTTTAAGGTTGTTATAACGCGATTTGTCCCTCAGTCTTCTCAAAAGTAAAGTTCGTTGTAGGATGTACCATTCTCTTCAGCCCATTGTAAACCTAGCTCAAAAGCGTTAACTGCGTCTTGATCTGTGACTTGTGGAGCAGTTGCAATCACGTCGTCGTTATCTTCCTGATCGTTTGTTGTATTATTAGAAACCTCTTTTATAATATCTTTGTCAACATTTCAAGAAAAACATTTTCTTCTTTATCCATTCCACGGACCAGACTTCCAAATCTTCCGTTATCTGTGTTTCAGCTTGTTCTATAACTTCCGCAGATTTGATATATAACTTTTTCCATTTAATAGTTGATGACGGTAACCCATTAAAAACCAAGTCTTTCATATTAAATTCTTTTAAAGTTTTTTCTATTGGTTGGTCTTTTGATACGCTCTCAAAAGGATAGTCGAGAGATGTTCTGGTCCATTGGTTGAATGATACAAGAAACATCGCAGTGATGCATTTATCCTCAGTTGTGAGTTCTTCTTCAGACGGATGACCCATCAAGAAGCGCTTTTTGAAAAATTATGATCAACCATTTTCTAACTTCAGGTAATGATCTTTTGTCATCCAGATGATCTGTGTGAAGGTTTCGACCAGACAGTATTATACTGACAACCACTTGTACCAAATTCTAAATTAATTATATCTAAATCTCTCCTGAATAGTCATCGTATGCCATGACGACTTTTAAAACGTTCTAGCCATCCTTTGTACATAAAAAAACTTAGCACACACACCCTTTCCTGAAGAAAGAGAGATGTTCAGCTTTCTTGAGTGTCTGTCTCTTGCCTGGCCCGCAGTCAGTAGTTGACACGAACTTCTTAATCTTCTCGTGGTTTTTTTTAATGTCATAAATTGTAGATCGGCCTACGCCGTATTCATATATATATATATAAAATATCACATTTTTCTTTAATTGTCAACGTTTTGTGCTTTCGCTTCTGGGTTTGTGATATATATATATATATATATATATATATATATATATATATATATATATATATATATATATATATATATATATATATATATATATATATATATATATATATATATATATAACTAAATAGATGCCTACAAGCGCTATCAATCGTTTGTGCAGTAAAACAAAAAAATAAACGTTTTTGTAATAATAGTTGAAAAATTAATTTCAGACTGTAAATATTAATTATAGTGTCATCTAATGAGCAATAGCTAAAACTGTATTAGTAAGGAAGAAAAAATAGTATTATTGATATAACTATTGGTCACTAGATGGCGTAAAATATTTAAACATTTTTTCATTACAATAGTATTAATATCATCTAACATACGAAATACGAGTAAACAATATCTCATAGTAAGTTAGTAAGTATACTTTGAAATTTTGTTTATTATTTACTATTTACACATATTTTATAATTGAGATCGTTAATGTAAAATGTAAAAATTAGTTTGTTTGTTACCTTATAACGCCTTAACAGCTTAATGAAATTTCGTATACACGCACTATATGGGAGGTAGAAGGATATAGGCTACTGTTAATCTCGACCACGCGGACGAACTGGCGGGTAAAAGCTAATGTTTCAAATAAAATAAAATAAAACTTTTATAGTTTTTTTTTAATGGGTGATAATGGAATGATAACCCCACCCGCGCTATCGGTATACACCGGCGGGGCACCAGTGAAAGATGATAGGTGAGGATGAAGCAGGTTAGTTAGCCCATCGTGACTAATTCAACAAGAATTGTTCATGATGGTTTTCAGGGGGAACCACGTGGAGGTCGACCTGATGTTGCTAGCAATGGGGCTATGAAAGTCCATTACTACCAATCCCTTTCCCCCCACTTTTATAGAGTTACATATACCTATACCTACATATAATACTCGCTTCTATTTATGTAAGTACTAAGGTAGATAAATTATGCTGAAATCAATATTAGACTGACTGCGTAAGACTCAAATAGGAATCAGAAATTATTATTGTACAAACATGTCCTCAGGAATGGCAACGCATGGGGGTATCATGGGCGAAACAGTATACTCTGTTATGTCCATGGTACTGCTCATGTCTATAGGCGACAGTTACCACTTTCCATCAGGTGAAAGAAAAATATGTATACATAACACATGATGACATCACGTGACCAAAACTACAATATTACGCCAAACACCGGACGAATAACAGCAACAAGGGTAACAAGGTTTACAAACATGCGCCCGCGCAGTCGCGAGTAGGTACCTACTTACGCCCTGTGCTCATACCTCACTAGTAACAGCCACGGCCCTGAAGTCACCACAACGAAGACTCTTGAACTTATTGGTGAGATATTTTTTACCACCCAGGCTTTTTTTGTACTTCTATGATGGCAAAGCATATGACCCGTCTAATGGTAAACAGTATTTACTCCAAATACAGTTGTTAAAATTGACACAAGATAAAAGTGAAAGTACCTAATGGTAACGATTTTAAAAAGTGGAAAATTCAGTTCAGAAATAATGATGGAATCGCGTAACTTGTGCGAAATTTAGTAGCGAAAAATGTTCTAAAAACATTCTATTTATGGAAATCATTTTTTTTATAGTTATTTTTGTATAAGTACCTGCAAAAATAATAATACATACCTACGCTAAATTACAGATGAGGGTTGTCGGTGTTTTATAGAAAAATTACGATGTACGCTTCCCAATTATTACTAATAACATTATTATACGTGACTCACAGTTGCCAAACGATGATAATTAGAAATAATGCGCTGATGTCCAAAATGATGTCGCACATCAGTTCCCAAAAAGATAGCAACCAACAAGAACCCCAGCACGACATACAGAGACCTGAGAGGGTTCTATCGCTCATGCAGAATGTGCTGTGCAGGAATTTCCCATTGATACCTTGCAAAATGATCGTGGAAGATAACGCATTGCGGAAGCTGATTGAGAAATCAATACAGCAGATAAAGTATAAGAAATTGTCTCTGGAGAAGACAACATCACGACCCGATCACCTCTTAACATTATTCCCGACGGTAAACAGTGAGGACCTTTCAAATTTTCTTCAAAAACGCGAGCGCGGGTACTATGGAACCAATCAAAAGGACTTTCAAACTCACAAAAAGAAACAAAAGAAAAGTGTACCGCCAACAGTATTCTGGTTGCACGAAAACCCAGGGAAAACAAACAAGAAAAATAAAAAGCAAACTAAAAGGGCATACGAGTACACGGGACGAAAGAAGATCCGAAAGTTCTATCCGCACAAGATAAAATATAAAGATAAAATAGAGAAGAACGCTAGGAGCCCTGGGGATTACAGTGATGAGAAGCTGTCGATGTCTGTTGAAGTTCCTGATATGACGTTAACGAAAAGACACCAACACCTGAGTTACAAGGTGGAGCCTGTAGAGCCAGCGGTCTGGAGGATAGACTATACGAAACACGGGGAGCCGAGCGTCAACATGCTCGGTTATGATACTGACCAGCTAAAAGGAAAGATCATGAAGACAGGCCCGAATGTCATCTTCGATGATAACGTACTGGACCCAGCAGCGAGAAAAGACGTCCTGCACCCAGATGTGTATATAAAGAATAACTTTGTTAGAAAAAATTTATATAATGTAGCTTCTGATGGTATGGATTAAATATTTTAAAATCGTCTTATCTCATTTATTATCAAAATTATCTATATTGTAGCATTTTTTAGCAACTAAGTCTTTTGACAAAACATTTTTCCCAAAAAAAAGCATGGCACATTCAAGTCACTGTTGAGTTAGTGTGAAAGCATTTTTTGTCATTTTCAATCTACCATTTGTAAGAACAAAAATAAAAAAGAAATATAATTAATTTAGTACCTGCAGAGAGATATTATAATGCTGTTATTAATAAACCAAACTCAGCGTTATCAGCAAAGGTCGTCGACGTAGTCACGCTTGCTATTCGTCCACTACGTAAATACGGCACTTTAAAATATTTTTTCTAAATTTATTTATTTGTATAATTATATATATAACTGTTACGTACGCTCGGAACGCACCTCAACACAAAATGTCAAAATGTTCTGTCAGATTTGCGCTGTCTGCTATCGCTTGCTTTTACAAAATTGATACGTATAATAAATCTGTTCTTTGTAATAATAGCATTTAAATACTACACCCAATATAGAAACCCACAAAACACAACAGACTGGCGACGAGGATCGAAGATTAACTGGTACAGCAGCATTAATCGGTACACCTAAAGTGAAATGGCGGGACAGCCACGTGTTCAATAACCCAATTGTTCCTACATACATACCCTTCCTTCCAATCCAGGGGCTCCTTTCCCTGTGATGATAGCCCGCTTCACAAATTCCTGTATCCATTACAATGGAAGTACAATTTACGCAACTTATGTCGTCACTCGCCGAGACACTACGTACGGTGCAGAATCAACAAGCACAGATGCAAACCATGTTTATGCAGCAACAGCAAACTACAAGTAATAACACAGTAAGTGGTATTGTTTTACAACCTTATGACGAACTCCACGAATCTTTTGGATCATACATACAAAGATTGAACAATTATATTAATCTTAAAGGGGTTACAAGCCCTGTTACAAAGTTGCAAATCTTCTTAAATTGTATTGGTGCTAAATATTACCAAGTCCTCAAAAATATTACTGCTCCAGATACACTGGAAAATAAAACATATGAACAATTTGTTGAGATATTAAAGAACCATATTGCGCCAGAACCAGGAGAAGTTGCTCAACAACACAAATTCTGTTTAAGGATTCAAAATGAAAATGAATCTATCGCTAACTACGTAGCGGGACTAAAGGAAATAGGAGGAAAATGCAATTTTATCTGCAATTCATGTAAATCTACAACATTTGATACACATTTACGTGTACAATTCATACGAGGTCTTCGCAGTTCAGAAATTAAAGAAAGGTTATTACAAGAATCATCACAAACATCATTTGATGAAATAATAAGGATTGCAATGGCAATCGAAACATCCAAAAGTGAAACCCAACAAATGGGGCCAGATGTTCATATGCCCAATATTAATAAAATTTCACAAAAACCTATACCAAAAATTTACAAAAATACAGGTAAGAAAGACAGCTGTTATAGATGTGGAAAATCAAACCACAAGGCAAATAAATGTTATTTGAAGAATAAATTATATTGTAAAAAGTGCAACCGAAAAGGACACATCCAATCAGTTTGCTTTAAGTCACAAAAACAAATTACAACAATTGAAGATGAAGAATATTCAAGTCAAGATGAAATTTATGAAATACATAAAATAGAAAACAGCGAAAAGGATGAAAAGTTTAAAATTACATTACAATTACATAGCAAAGAGAGACATACATGGGAATTGGATACAGGAGCCGCAGTCACCACCTGTTCTACAGAATATTATAATAAATATTTCAGTGATTTAAAACTTGAAAATTCAAAAATAAAATTGAGAACTTATACTGGTGAAATTATAAACCCAATAGGAATTTGTAACATAAAAATACAATACAAAAATAAGAAAATTACAGGAAGATTATTTGTTCTTAATAGGAAAGTCGACCCAGTAGTGGGAAGAGAATGGTTAAGAAAATTAGGAGTACGTTTGGAAATAAATAAAATAGAGATAGGGAGAAATGATATAACTGAAGAACAATACAAGAAAAATTTAGAAAAATTAATAGATCAATATAGAGAGATATTTTCAGAAGAAATTGGAGAAATAAGGAACTACACAGTGAAATTCAGTTTAAAAGAAAATGTTACACCAATTTTCATCAAGGCAAGACCAGTACCGTTTGCACTAAAAGAAAAAGTTGAAAACGAAATTGATCGATTAGAGAAGGCTGGGATATTAGAGAAAGTTACATATTCACAATGGGGAACGCCTGTAGTACCAGTCGTGAAGCAGAATGGCAGTGTACGGTTGTGTGCTGATTACAGAGCCACATTAAATAAAAATTTACTTGATGATAAGTACCCAATCCCAAGAGTGGAAGAAGTTTTCTCCAAACTAAGTGGTGGTAGATATTTCTGTACCTTGGATATAAATCAGGCATATTTACACATGAAAACTGACCCAGCCACAGCTGAAATGCAAGCCATCAGTACATGCAAAGGTACATTTAAAGTCAATAGACTAATGTTTGGTGTAAAAGTCGCTCCAAATCAATGGCAAAGATACATGGATCAGACCCTCCAGGGACTACCAGGTACAGCCTGTTTCTTCGATGATATAGCTATTCAAGGACAGACATACATAGAATTATTAAAAAGAATACAAACTATCTTTCAAAAGTTAAAAGAGTGTGGACTACAATATAAAAGTACGGAAGTCTACGGAACATGCAAATGCAGATTATTTCTCAAGGTTAGAACACCCTACAGTAAACTATAACCAACTAACAGATGATGATGTATTCTACTTGAATCAACTTACAGTACTACCAGTTACATTCCAGAAAATTAAAGAAGCTACAGCTAAAGATTTAGAATTACAGAAATTATATCAGGATATTCAATCAGGTACAAATTATACAAAAGGACTACATGAATTTTCTATACAAAGTAACTGCATTTTCTATGGAATAAGAATAGTCATTCCAAAACAATTACAACCTGCAATTCTACAAGAATTACATACAGCTCATACTGGTATTGTAAAAATGAAGGCACTAGCAAGAAGCTATGTCTGGTGGAAAAATATAGATGCAGATATAGAAAGAATGGTAAATGAATGTAAACCATGTTGTTTATTACAGAAAAATCCTACAAAAATACCTATACACAGTTGGGAATACCCAAAAGAACCATGGAGTAGAATTCACATTGATTATGCAGGACCATTTTTTGATCAATATTTTCTGATTGTTGTGGACGCATACACCAAATGGCTAGAAGTAATACCTACTACATCCATAACAACTACAGCTACTATTAAAATATTAAAAAACTTATTTACTACATTTGGACTACCTATAACTATAGTATCAGATAATGGAAGACAGTTCCGTTCAGAAGAAATGATGACATTTCTGAAAGAAAATGGAATTCAGTCCAAGTTTACAGCACCGTTTCATCCATCTACAAATGGACAGGCTGAAAGATATGTACAAACTTTTAAAAATAAAATTAAAAGCATGATCCATGAGAAAGGCACATTAATGGAAAAGTTATCAAGATTTTTGATGATGTACAGAAAAACTCCTAATAATACTACAGGATTAAGTCCAGCGGAAATGATGTTTAAAAGGTTATATAGAACAAAAATAGACTTAGTAAAAAGAGATCTAACTACAGAAATGAATATGAAACAAAATATAGAAGGATTTAATAAAATATATAGAGAAGGAGACAGAGTGCAGATTAGATTCTATGACAGTAATAAATGGAAAATTGGGAAAGTAATACAAAAGAAAGGAAAACTACACTACAATGTGGAAGTGGATGGAAAAATACATACAAGGCATATAGATCAGATAAGAAGAACTATGTGTACTCAAGGAAATGATGTTACATACTTACCTTACTTACCTAAGTTGATAGCCACGCCAGCTGCGACATCTGTATCATCACCTGAAAAAGAAAGAAGATTGAATTATACACCTGATGGGAGAGAATACTTACCTGACTCACCTGTACTGGAAACTTCACCCTGCCATGAAACAGGAACGGAGAATAATAAGCCTGTTTCGAAAAGAAAATCTTTATTTGTTCCAGGTTCTATTACAGAGAATGTGACACAGCCACAGCTCGCACCAGTAGCTACGCCGGCATCTCCGAGTGGTGTCGAGCAACCAGTTGTGCTTCGCCGAAGTACGAGAATCAGAAAACCTACAAACAGATTGAACCTTTAAGTTACAACGTGGGGGAGTGTTACGTACGCTCGGAACGCACCTCAACACAAAATGTCAAAATGTTCTGTGAGATTTGCGCTGTCTGCTATCGCTTGCTTTTACAAAATTAATACGTATAATAAATCTGTTGTTTATAATAATAGCATTTAAATACTACACCCAATATAGAAACCCACAAAACACAACAATAACACTATTTTAAGATTGTATGTCTATCTATCTATATACCTAACTACCTATTAGGTAAAATCGGAATCAGTAGCACTATGTTTGTTGAACCTATTTCGAACTAGATGTTTTTTAGAGAAAAATTTCAATTTGATGAAAGACATTGTCATTTATCATTGACAACCGTCATTTTATATTTTGGAGTAACAAAGCTAACAGTGGTTTCTATTCAAGTAAACTTAATCATACCTAAGCACTTTTTAAGTGTAATTTCTTATGTTCTACCGCCAATTTATATCTCTATTTCAACTGAGAAATATAGGCAAGAAATGAAAGTAACAACTGTATCTTAATTTATACACCCATTTAAACGCGAATTGTTTTCTTGCGAGATAACCTTATCAGTCAACGTTACAACTTATGTTTACAGTTAAACAGGGTGACCACACATCGTGCCAGCTACAAATACATATTTTATAAAAGCAATCTGTCGTACTCCTACTATAATGTATTCCTATCTGAAATGCTCAATAAATGTTCTTCTATTTCTGTTTATCTGATCAAGTTAAATGTAAAAGTTTACAGGCATTCTGAATGTTTTGCGGTTATCTAAATGAACGATGGTATTAAAATAAATATTAGGTGGAGTCTGGAGTTTAACTTGCATTACGAGAATCGATATACAATTAATTTCTTATATCCTAAACTGACTGGTTATTATAGACATAAGGGACCATGTTTTTTTTTTTTTTTTATTTGAACTTTCTTTTTCTCTCTCTTCTAATCCTTGATGAAATTTGATGCGACCTAATGAAATTTTGAGAGATCAAATACACGAGTATTCTTAATATGTGGTATTGTATTTTATTTTATTTATATAAAAACTCACTAAATAAATGTTGCTACATTTTGCCAAAGATTAATGGAGGTCACAGAACAAGTATTGGGTACTTGTTCTTGTCCTGAATAAACCAAAAATCATGTCTATACTAATTCACAGCACCAAACAACCATCTGCTCTCTCGACCCTTTAAATATCAATTGAAACTCAACAGTTTTAATAACACAACAACACAGACAGTACATCGATCTGTTCACTTATTTTTGTTATAAAGAAAAGGCACAAAAAACAAAGGACAAACTTTGTATCTACATTCAATAATTACTTAACAATTTTGTATAGAAACATGTCAAGACCAGTATTAACTTCTCACGTGCTAGATACAACTACAGGCAGGCCAGCGGCCAGACTATTTGTGGACTTGTTCAAGAAGAAAGACAACTCATGGGCAGCATGGAACAGCACAATGACAAATGCAGATGGTAGAATACAATTCCCGTTCACAAAAGAGTCTATGCCTGAAGGGACGTATAAGTTGCATTTCAAAGTTGGTGATTATTATAAAACGACTGGACAGGAAACTTTGTACCCTTTTGTGGAGGTAAGAGTTTTAGTTATGTAATTTCCGAACAACAATATTGTTTTGCGACATCATTTAAGTGTTTATTTAGGTAGTTTTTATTATATTGTACAAAAGTGAATGAGAATGTAATGTATAGCATGATTAAATTGTCTAAAAAATAACATCGCTTACCTTATAACAAACCCAGCATGAATTTATGAAAATTCTATTATATAAGTGTAATAGCGCCATCTATCAATAAATTGATTAAACAGTGTTACCGCCGTGTTAGTTATTAAAATTAATTTGCAAAGTTAATACTAGATGACGCTATATGTTATTTCTATGCTCGAAAAAATTAAAAAGCCTTTTATATTTTTATACTAATTAGAAACACTTTCTAAAATTGCAGATACCATTCGAAACGAAGGAGGATGAACACTATCACATAGCATTGCTACTGAGTCCGTACGGATACACCACATACAGAGGGAGTTGAAATATCAAGAAATAAACTTTCCTGTATAAACTTCTTTTCATATCTAATTTTATTGAAAATCGAATAAAATATTAAGCTATTTATACAATATTAATGTATACATATAACAATAATTGCGAAAATATCATCAAATATTGGGGGGAACGGTTTGTTAGTAATGGGGAGGATAGTCCCCGTCGCTATCAATATACCTTATCAGGTCGACCTCTACGCGGTTGCCTCTGGAAACCATCGTGGTTAATTCTAGTGGAATTTGTCACGATGGGCAAACTGACCTGCATTCATTCTCACTTGTCATCTCTCACTGGTGCCCCGCCGGTGTATACCGATAGCGCAGGCGGGGTTACCATTCCATTATCACCCATTAAAAAAAAACTTACCAATACAAACTGTTGTAAACCAATCCCAATTATAGAATCTAATTCCTAATCGTTGTTTCTTATATATATATATATATATATTCTTTATTACACTAAAACATACAGTAACAACAATAAGTTAATAACAAAGGCGAACTTATCTCTAAAAGAGATTTCTTCCAGTCAACCTAACGCAATGGCATAGGAAGTATTTCTTGAGTGCAGTATAAAATTGTATTCATATTAGATTCAAGAGTAGACCTTCTGATGTGTTAATTGTCGCCAATAGACATGAACATGACCCAATAGACTGGTAACCATGATACACTTCATGCATTGACATTCCTGAGAACTAAGCTGTTTTGCCTCCATACGTGTAGGTTTTTTTTTATACAACTTAGAATGGCAAATAAGCTGACGGTCCACCTGATGGAAAGTGGTAACCGTCGCATACAGATATGAGCAGTACCATGGACATAACAGAGTATTGTTTCGTCCATGATACCCCCCATGCGTTGCCATTCCTGAGGACTCAGGTGTTATTCCTCTGTACCCAGTAAATTTATTGCCATATCCCACCTCTTCAAACAGAAATACAGCCATGCAAACAACTGCTTCACGGTAGAAACACGAATGGGACAGAGGTATCCAAGCAATCGACTTTTGTACAAAGTCTCCCTCTGGTATCATATCAGCCTTTAACTGTCCACTGATGAACTTAGGCCTCCTCTATAAGGAGGTCTTGCCAGTAGTTGCCACGCTTGGCAAATTTTAAATACTAGGAATGAATAATGAAATAAAACAATTTGTATTGAACTGTTATATTAATCTGTTAAAAATTAAACAGTAACCTAGCTATTGTAAAACTACGACATATTTACAAATATATTAACTATTATAGATAAATCATTCTCTCTGCCAGTCCTGTACAATCTTACATTTAATATTTAATTAATAATTAACAGTCCAATAGGCTGGCACGTCGTACCTACTTGTATGAATGGGTTTATGGTTGTATAGAAAACAAGAGTATCATTTGTACAAAGATTTACATCAAAATCGCCTTCACAATTAAGTTAAAAGCTTGTATGGAAATTAGTTTCCTAAAACGCCCGCTAGAGGCGCTGTTTTGTTTTCAATACTTTTCAACGTAAATGCTAACGCAGCAGTAACATAAATCAACGTAGACACACACTCGGAACTCAGTTTAATAAACATGACCGAGTTTCAGGTCGGGATACCCTTTTCCGTTGACCCAGTATAGAATGTCACACAACATAAAGCCCTTTACAATTTATTTAATTTAACCTTATAAAAAACATGTATAGTTGTCCAATTCAGTGTACATTACAAAAATAAATTCCTAAACTCTTTAATCAGTATTAAAGAACCTTTAATTATTGCTGTTTAAAGCTGCCATTCAAATTTAGACTTTAATATGTACAATAATTGATCAAATTGCTGCGCTCATTTGGATAAACGTGCAATGTGGAAAAGGGATGTAAGATATTAGTTGCTATGAAAAAAAAAATTAGAAACCAGATGTCATACTAATCGCCTAGCTGGCCCTTAATACACATATTTCAATCAGCCCTGTATAAGATTCAAAATAGACTAATTCTGGACTTATTAGTTGAAATAAAGATGATCAGTGGAGCCATCTAGTGTATAAAAAATACAATTGAGCATACAAGTTAAAATAATAATAAAGAATTGTAATTTAAAGTAAAGTGAATGCAGGTGGAATGAATTTGATGCTATTTTTTTTCGTTACAGAATAATTTCCTTTTTTTTTTTTAAACTAATATAAGTAAATATTTATTTACACGTTTTAATGTACTTCAAATTGACTACAAACTGTGTGGGCACGATTAACATATAATAAAATGAAAACTTATACAATATCGTTGTAAAATTTATAAATATTTATTGTAAATGAAAAAAAAAAAAAACACTTTTGTTCATACCGACTTACTAAATCGGCTTGCAATCACAAATTAAAAATTAATCACATGCATTCATGGAGCAATATTAGGTAGTGTGCATTTAACCATTCTTTGCATAATGGTGGAAATTTCCATCGTAACATTGAATGCCCAAAAATTATATAAAAGAACAAGTTCACTTTAATTTGATCGTGTCTGGATACCTTTTTAATGTCCATTGCAGGAAAAAAAAAACATAGCTGTCAAATTTATTTCTTTAACCATTTTTCCTTTTATTTTGAAATGAATTATAATACCAATAAAAAAAAAAATATGCAAAGAAGGGTTAATATCAGAAGGATATATCACACTGCCATATTATTATGATAATATATTATGTACAATGACAAGAAAATACAGGGCATAAACTAATACGAGCTCTCTCATAAGATAATTATGTTTCACAAATTAGAAACCGACTTCTTGTGACAAAACTTGTTTATATTTATAAACTAAATCACTGATTACATTCTGATAAAAATTCTATGTAACCAATTATTTAAAAAACAAGCCACATTTTGTGTTAAGTTATTATTAACAAACTTAACACAAAATGTGATTTTTTTTTAATATTTAAAAACTTAGAAAATCTTATTTAGGCTCTTGCTTTTAATATGAATTTTGCATTTCATAATACAATTATAATAACATTTAGAAATCAAACAATTATTCAGAAGTAATTAAAAAGTTTTTTAGAAATAAATATGTTTATATTGTAAATTCATATACAAGTATTCAAATTGAGAATCCACCTTTTTATAAGTAGGATAAAAAAACAAATGAGCATGACTCAATGTTTATGATAAAGTACTTTTTTTTTTTTTAAATAATTCTACTCCGTGCGTTGTAGGACTTTACGGGTGACAGGTGACATTTTAACAGTTTATTGTAAAAGAAGCGAACGTTTATCGAACTGTATGGAAGTCAAAATAACAATTTTTTAATTATGCCACGACATTTTCGCGAACTGGCAAGAAACGTAACAAGATAAAAAAAAAAGTTACCTACATTTTGTAGGATCTATTGACATTTTTCTTTTGTTTCAACGACCTGTCACCCTCAGCATGCTATAACTCATGGAGTATCCATTCGAATCACTAAAGTGGACATCGAAATAGACTTGCGTGTACTAAACTTACCTAACCCTTATATAATATAATGGAATATTACACTATCAAATATTGGATCATATGCACGTTTTAAAATACATACACCTAGAAATGGGAATTGTTTAGCTCTCTCGTTTATTCCTAAACTGAAATTATTTGTAAATGTGTTAGTTACTTATTAAATTGATCCGATATGATCCAATATATTTGACAGTGCAACAATGCCCTATATACTAAAGCTGTAACTTTGAATCGTAACATTTGTCACGGGTTCCGGACGCTGGCGGGACTCTGTAACGTAAATGGTCACATTCATCAGTAAAGCATCACATCATCATCACTATATCACCGTTTCTTCATCACAATCACTAAGTATCACAGTTTTATCACAGCTTGATTTGTGTCCGATTAGAGTCTATGTCCATTCGATCGGCCGGAACTTCTGGCTGTTGGGGCTAAATGTATCCTGTCCCTAAGCTATTAGGGTCTTATATTCAGTGGCAGACCTCACCCTTACATTATCAAAATTTATAAAAAGACAAATTGTTTGAAATGTTTAAAGGTAATTTTAATATGAGTTTAGCAATCAAGCATACAGCTCGCCTGATGGTAAGTGACAGCTCGAGGATGCTTGCAGCACCATAGACCTGACCCTTGTCACATGAAAATTCTGAATCACAATACCCTGTAATTTTACTGTCATTATCTCATGCTTCAAATTGAAAAAAAAAAGGAAGCAAACTGCTTGCTTTAAGATGGAGATTGAATTACCCACGCCTGACTTTGTATTATCCCTGTGTTTTCTAATAAAGGCTACATATTACCTATACATTGTAGACCTGACAATTTACTACAACTAACTCTTCAAACAACAATAGGCAGCACCCCTTGACGATATCCCCTTTTAAAGTGTTTCTACACCGCTTTCATTATACGCAAGTTTTTGACATGCCAAAGAAGAGCTGAGAAACGGTCTTTGAGAACAAACAATCGAGAAATTAATAACGAATTAATAAATATATTATAAATAAATAAATTATATTTTTAATTACCCATAAACGAAAAGGTTGCATCAAAAGACATGATATTACGCCTATTTTAAAATTTTATAGCTGATTTATCTAAAAAAATACTACTCTCTGTCCTATCCATAGAGGGATTTGTTTGAAGACTTTAGATTCAAATTTAAATCATTTTTATTCAAATATTTTTACTTTTAAATCGTATTTTTTTTATGAATGCAGTGTTCGGAAAGTTGTCATCTGTTGAGAAGAGCCCGCAAGAAACTCAACAGTTACTCTTTCAAATCTCTGTTAACATTATATGTATTTATTTAAATGTACTATGTCTAAAATTACATGGTCGTTAGAAACCCGCGCATGATCCACTAACACCATGCACGCTTGACATTCAAGTAATCGTTTAATAATAGGCTTTGTTTAATAAATGTTTTTTAATAACAGTTTTAAACTTATTAAGAGGCAGATCCAAAATATCCTTCGGTATTTTATTATGAGATTAAATGCCTATTCCCATAAAAGACCTATAATTTTTTTTGTAAACGATAATTTGGAATATTAAGTGTGAATTAATAATGGAGCAAAGTGCGAACAACTCAAACAGTTAACGGCCCATACATTAAACTTGTAAATGTCACCTCATAATAGACATAAATAGCACCATGGGTAAAATAGAATACCATACACCACCCACTCATGGTTTCCTCACTTTCCTACGTTAAGACACACCTCAATAAATCTAAGAAATAGAAATAAAAACATTTTGTTTTTTAATTTAAATATTTGCCAAAGTATTTTAATTTTTTTTTTCAAAAGTTAATTCTACAATAGACTGTGACTACCTCCTCTACGATTACAAGTCTGAGAATATTTAATATATTTTTTTTTTTTAATATAGAATATAATTTAGCCTGGTCAGTCTGCCACTGGATAAACGAAGGGAAATGCTGCAAAAATACATAAATAGGAAAATATATCAAGTTATCGGACGACAAACCAAAAGGAAGCCTTTGACAATTGTCAACCAGACATACCTGTAACGCACCTGTGGAATATTATAATTGGTATACAAATATACAGTGCTATTAATTATACTTACCAAATATAATCAGGTATATCCTATGCTGAGCCTTAGGTTGGCGCCGCCCAATCTATTGTAGTGAAATCAGAATCAATCTATTAGACATGTTATGGCAGATTATACCATTATCACCTTATAACCTGACGCTAGATGCTTCTGTTTACCCTATACACTGTGGCCATTGTAAAAACAATTAGTCTACAATTGTCGACAGTACAGAGGAAAACTGTCACAACAGTTTTTAATAACAAAAAAAAATGTATTTCAGAAATTCTTTGAATTGTGTTCTTTACACAAGACACTAATACATGTAGAGAGGTATAAATAGGATTAGAAATGTCATGAGTCTAGATTAAAATATAGTGTTTAAAGCTATATTTTACATCACATAAGCAAATACCTAAAACTACTAATAATATCACAGTTAAATGGGTACTAATTACTAACTTACTAGTTCCATATAAAGGATTGCCAATAGGCGTCAAAAAATATTTTCCTTTTATTTCTAGATATTTGTGAGTTTTTTTTTTCTTTTCATTTATAAGAAGTATTATTTAGATGTATAATAAAGTTAAATAAATTAAATAGAATTAATAATTTAAAAGTACCACCAGATTTAACATATGCATTATGAATGAGGTACTTCTCATATTTCCATGACTATTATTTTACTAAATTCCCCTATTTATGTTCAGCGGAAACTCAAAAATACTTTTTTAAGTACTTTTGTTATTTTTCCTTTTTGAACATATGTTATTTTTATAGATAAATAAACATTTTATAAACACACAATTTACTGACCTGGTAAATCCAATCTGGGAAAAAAGATTAGCATCAAAATAAAGAAAGCAACCCACCTATTTCCCTTCCTCTTGGCCGACAACTTCTTTATAGCGAGCAATCATCAGCTTTTTCACGGTATCTCTGTACGTCTCCCCAGGTGTTGGTGTGTATATTCCTCGCTTCTGACCAAGACCCGCCAAGCTAGGCCTCTGTTCTGCTTCTATAGGCGCTATTCTCCCCTGTTCCTCTTTCCCTAACCCTCTGCCTTCCGACCAACCCATCTTCTGTAACATCTTTCCTCCAATAGTATCTACGACTGACGGAGGAGGTTGAGGGGGCATGGCGGCGTGCACTGCTAATTCGGGAGGCTCATAACGTCTCCTGATCGGGGTCTCATCCTCGCCAAACTTCATCCTTCTCTCTGCAGCCCTATCTCTGTAGCCATTTGTCTGTGGCAACAAGTCATTTTTCTTCTGATACTCTGCTAAGTTCTGCTTGTGTAAGTCTGACAGTGTTTTGTGTTTAGTCAACACTTCAACTGAAGGGAATCGACGTTTGCAGAGCAGACAGGTCAGCTTAGACCAGTCAATGATGCCATCGTCACTTTCAAATACAGGTTCAGACACTTTCTTCATTAAGAAGTCATCTGTAGACACTGGTGGAGGTGACAGCTCCCTGACATGAGTGGTTATAGACGGCCCAGCTCCTAACACTGAAAAACCTATGTCTGCAGAGCCCTTGCTGGCTCCAGTATCGAGGGGCTGTTCCATCACAACATTACTGCGAGCATTCTCCTTTTTCTGGTTCAATGTTCGAGCCCACCTTTCCATATCTTTAGCAATCTTTTTCGCCACTTTTACCTTGTCCTCTTTATCTTTCTTTTTCTTTTCCTCGGGCTGTTCCTTTGCTATAGTATTTTCCGATGTGGCTTGAGGAGGATTCGGTAATTTTGGTTGGTCTGTATTTTGCTGTGTCTGGCTTGCCGCAATGTATGTTGATGTTCCTGCATCCCAATACATATACTGGGATATCTGGCTGTTGAAGAAATACTGTGTGTTCCCATCATAGTACAAGCCTGTGGCCGGATCATAATAGTATCCAGAACTCTCATCATATAAGAAGGTCCTCACATCTGGAGGACTGTAGACAGTTTTGCCATCTCCAGTAGGTACCTTCACAGAAGGGACAGCTTGTGTAGCGGAAGCTACAAAAGTAGGCACTGCCACAGGCGTCCACGCCATCTGCCGGGCTTGTGCTGCCGATATAGCTGACTGAGCTACTGCAGCAGCAGCATTCACTCTGTCTGCTTCAGACAAAGCATGTGCTGTTGAACCATAATTAGTCATTTGTGCATAATACGAAGAATAATCTGAATTCTGAACTTTTTGCAGCTTTTTTGGTTCATTGTAAAATGTAATCAGTACCTCTCGTCCGTCAATCTCTAATGGTGGCTGCAGAGCTAGCAACTCATTGTGGGCCGCAGTAGAATCAGCAATGGAATTGAAATTAATGTAAGCGAGACATTTGGATGCACCTGTCAATGTTTCCCTACCAATGGTAATGCCCGCTATAGAATCCAGCACAGACTTTGAACACCTCTCCTTGATCGCATCTAATATCTTTTCCTCAGTCGTCAGTGCGTCTAGTCTCCTGAACAACAGCCGTTTAGTAATCCCTGCACCGTCGGTGACATTACTTCTCTCAGAGTCTCCACCGAATACGATCCCATCAGATCGTTTACCTTGACAGTTGCGTCTATAACAAATCTGTCGCCGTTTGAAATTGTACAAACCGCACTTACAGAACCAATCACCCGGGGATGCGTTCACAGAGTTCTGGTCGTCTTTCTCTTTCATATCGTGACTCTCGTGGTCCACCCGCTCGCGGCTGTGCGACCGGCTGCTCGACTGCGAGTCGACGTCCTTGTCTCCGCTTATGGTGGGTGGGGAGGGCGCCGGGGGGACGTCCCTGTCCTTGTCGTCGAAACGTCGCGGGGAGCGGCGGCGGTCGCGGTCGCGCCTGTCGTGGCGGTCGCGCTCGCGGCTGCGGTAGCGGTCGTCGCGGTCGCGGTCGTAGCGCTCGCGGTCGTGGCGCTCGCGGTCGTGGCGTTCGCGCTCGTGGCGGTCGCGGCGTTCGCGCGGCTCGCGGTGGTCAGGGCTGGTGCTGCGGCGCGGCTCCCACACGGGCGCGCGGCCGCGGGGCTCGCCCCAGCGCGTGTCGTGCTCGCTCCAGCGCGACGCCCGCTCGTCGCGGCGCCACGACATACCTGTCTGGGAACATCGACATCATGAAATCATCACTTACGAACCCGGTGGTGTCGCCCCGCCTCGACGTCGGCCTACGTCCACGACCGATGACCTTTCTCCGCCTATTGTTTACCTGATCTCTCTGCTGGTTCGAATCACAACTAATTCTTCGAAATACAATTATTGAAACACTAATATACACTTGTTATAACCATTAATTATCTCAAATTTGTCTGAAAACCCTAATAAATATTAACTATTACGTTGAATCTAATTATCGCAAAAAAGAACACGAGACGCCATTTTATAACTTTTTTTTTTTTATTTAGCATCAGTGTTTCCAACTTCCAAATATATTTGTCCTTATCAGTTAATCCAGATTTAAAACTAAATGTAAAATTAAATCTCTAAGAGTTAAAATGTAGTCAAAATCTAGCATTGAGATAAATTCTTTAAAATAATTCATAAAAAGCTCTTTATAATAATTGTTCGTTCCTATACACGGAGAATATTCTTAAGTTGGAAACATCATACAACGTCATTAATAAATATCCATTTGATTTTGACAGTAGCTAGTGTCAAAATAGGATTAGTGTTGTACACTAATCCTATCTACATGTATCGATAAATAAAACGGACTGAACTGAAAAATCTATTTTATGAAGTTGCCTATTGAAATTTTACACCAAATATCATTAATAGGCACATTTTTACACTAATTTTATTGATCGAATAAATTACAGATTCTGTAAAAAGCACTAATACGGAAGTTTTATGTGTAATCTGTTTTAATAGAACTTAATAAAAGTGTAAAACAAATAAATAATCCAAGCCTGATTAGCAATGATAGTTATGTCAATTTTATATTCCTTTTCTTTTATATTAATACCCGCCCACTATGTAATTTTTATAGTAACAGATTGTGAATTGTTAATCTATTTCTAATTAATATGACCATTAGTCAATCTGCTTATGTCAAATAGTAGCACAGATAAAAATTGATTGATTGTAAGCTTCGATATGTTACTTAGAGATGTTTCTGTATTAATTTTAATAAAACTTTGTTACCTTTTAAATTAGTTTTATTGAATCAGATTATATATGCATTTGTGGCATAAAAATGAAAGAATATGATGCCTAGATTTTTTTATTTGGAAAATAAATAAATCTGTTAAGAGAATCATTATCACTAACGAGTTCATAAGATAGAATGAGAAAACGATATCTGGTGTCTTGTACTTTTTCGTGCATACGTTAATCGAAACATATAGTGAGAGATTTGTTTAAGTCCAAGGGGACAGATCACATTTACGAAAAGTCATCTCATTAAATTTTTATAGCTGGTATACCTATTGTAATTAGATTCTATTGTTAATACATATAAATTCAATAAGTCGAGCGACAGGTATTTAAAATAATAAAATTTATTGTTAGTTGTTTTATTAAAACTCTTAGAGCTATTTTAAGTTTGTGCAGTCAAATAAATCAGTTTTTTTTTAATGGATGACATTGAAATAGTAACTCTGGCTGCGCTAACGGTGTAAGCTGGCGGGACACCAGTGGATTATGGTAGACAAGATGAAAAGGCAGGTCAGTTAGTCGTGTTGAATACACCAGGAAATCAGCACAAGTTTATAGGCGGGGACCACGACCGAAAATGAAAATAATTAAATTAAATAAAAAAGGTTTAAAATGCTATTAATATTATAAATGTGCAAGTTAGTAAGAATGGATGGGTAGATTAATGGATGTTTTTTACTCTTTCATGCAAAAACTACTGAAAGGATTTAAATGAAATTTAGTATACGGGTAGGTTATATCCTGATTTAGTACATAGTATATTTTATGTACTAATTCATGCGTGTGAAGCCGGGGGATACAACTCGTAAAGTAATATGGCCAAAATTATAATTGTACTCATATAATACGAATATTATAATTACGTCTTTTGGCCAAAAAAATGAAAGACTGAAATAAAATATTTTTTATTCTTTATAACACATATTTTTTAAACAACTATCTATTCAAGTGTACTGCAAGCACCTTGATTTTTCCACCAATTTAAAAAAAAAGGTTACTGCCATATAGTAGGTACTAATAATAATTTACATTATTATAATAAGTGCATATAATGACCTTGTCATATTTTCATCAGTTAATTAATAATAGAGTATCTACATAGATAATATAATTAACCATTACTTAAACGATAAAATAAAGTAACTAGACATTTTAATAAAAAAATATTTAAATACATATTCACAATAATATCATAGAATGTAATTTTTCAAATAGAATTCTATAACAGAACATCATTACAACTAGCATAATATTATTTGTACATAAATTTTATATTGATTGAGCTTCCTTTAGAATGTTTATAAATTCTTAGCAAAGCAAAATAAAGGATTAAAAAATGGAGACGGAACATAGAACTAATGCCAATTTTTACCCCAAAAGATAAGCAAAACAGAAGATAACTCACCTTCATGTGTAACATCATGCTTGTTTCTACGATTGGGGTGTGAGATAGTAAAGATACGCGAAAGATGGTACGAGTTCAAATTGATTGGCTTCAATTTATGCTTATTCCTCAATCTCCATTTGGCTATGAAGTCACAATGAAGTGATATCATTGACAATGCATGGATAAAATAATAATTACAGATTTAAAATATTTATTAAATAGGTGCTTAAGTAGAGAAAAATCTACAATGATCTAAAAATATCTATAATACTAGTTGCATTTCTAAATCTGAGGACTCTGTAAATGATGATTTTTTTTATTAATAGACTTTTAGATAAATAGTCAAGCGTAAATAATAATTTTACGTTGCTTAATTTAAATAATTAAAATTTAGGAGAACAGTCTCATTACCTAGAATCTTAAGATCGAATGTCTGTTTTCTGCACATCCAAATTAAGCTTTAAATTCAAGGACCAAAGTTAATTATTACAAAATAGATATTTCTCTCATTTACATATTGTGTCTACTATCTAATGTAATGTATTCTACTATCAATTATTTTGCTAGTAACGAGACACTGGTTCATATCGATTATTTCGACCCAATATTCACTCGTGTAACTCTAGATATAGTTAACGTCAAAATATTAGCACGATGGTAGCATTGGTAATGGGTTCGCGATGCAAAGAGGCAAGTGGGCGAGGTCACTATAATTGTAATCAATTCTGTCATTATAATAGCTGTGTCTATTCCAAGGACACAGTTATTTTATTCGATAACAAATTATTTTGTATTACAATTACAAATAAATATTTTGTGTTCACATATACTTACGTAAATGTGATTTACTTGCACACCGGCAACTGTTTTATTCATAATCAACTGATTGTATCCCTAATAAATGAATCTACGTATTGTATATCATCCACGGAATGTTAAATATCTACATCGAAGCAAAGCTGTCTAGAAAATAATCTGAATACGTATGTATCAATGTCAATTTGACCCAGGTTTGAGTGACGGATGCATCTAGTCTTTCCTGCCAGTAAGCAGGTGTTCTCGCAGAGTGCATATTTCTCTTTCTATGTTTTCTCTCGCCGCCGCTTCGAAGCACTCGAATTCTGGAGTATGGAAGAGCTTAGGGATTTGTGAAAATTGATTAAGTACCTGAAATTATAAATGTAAGACATTTTATTTATATTTACCCAATGCTAATAATCCTATATGAAGCGCATGTTAACTTTAGCATTTTTATACTTCGTAATGTACGATAAATGATCTTAACTGTGTTATGATTAATAATATTAATAAATCTGTGTTGCTATTTTTAGATATTATAGAAAAGTATTTGCTGACATATCGTGCACAAATAATAGTGACAGATAAAATGGAATATAAGCTACAAAAAAGGTATTCATAAAAAATTGGCCTTCGAGGCTGTAAATAGATTTGTAGAAATATAACTATATTTCCAGGAATAAAAAAATCTACTCTAAAGACTATATTTCTACAAGTTTATACATTAAAAACTATAAATGAAGACTCATGCCCTTAAATATTTGTTTATCTGTACTTAATATAATAAAAAATATATAAAGGTTTATAAAAACTGACAATGTACCTTGATTCTTAATTCGACGTAATTATCATGTGTCAGCTTGGAGTATTCAGCTCGTACGAGCTTAGCATGTGCGTCGTATTCCTCCCGCGAGGCGGCCAGCACCGCCAGCTCGCAGTCTCCGAACAGCTGCAGATCACGCAGTGGTGCAGGCCCTACTGGCGCCGAAGGTGAGGTTTCGCGACCGCAGCTACCGCACCACTGTGCCTCATCATCAGTCAGCAATGCCAACACGTAGGATGTTAAGTCTTGCTGTAAGGTTTATAGAAAAATGTATATGAATATAAGATCTACCCAAATACAAAGTCTGGCAAAGGTTCGGCAAAAAACTTATATGCAACCTAGAAAGGTAAACAAGTTGACAGTCCACCTGATGGAGAGTGGTAATCGTCCTCTATATTCATGAACAGCACCATGGGAATTGCTTAGACTGTATTATGTACTAATACGTATTTTTAGGGTTCCGTACCTCCAAAGGAAGAAACGGAACCTTTATAGAATCACTTCGTTGTCCGTCCGTCTGTCCATCTTGCAAGACCTTTTTTCTTATGAACGCATAGAGGTATCAAGTTTATTATTATCATATACTCAGGTCTGCAATCTCTTAAAATAGTGAAAAAATCGAGGTTCTAAATCGACGCATTCAAAAATACGGCCGTTTATGTTCCATTTGTATCGCATATTTTGATATTTGCAAAGAGAATCAAAATCTATAGGGTACCTACTTCCCGTTAATCTGGAATCATGAAATTTTGCCATAAGCAATATCATATAGAACAAGTAAAGGAAAAAAATTCGAAAACCGTAAATTTGTAGTTATTTCATAAAAAAATTTAGACTTCATGATTTTGTACGGAACCCTCATTGCGCAAGTCCAACTCGCACCTGACCGGCTTTTTATTTTTATTAAATTTTACTGAAAAAAAATATAAGTGTAATAAGTTCAATATTTAAAGCAATATCACACTGCCAACAAGGTTATCATGAGATTATACATATAGGATCCCGTTTCAACCTGTTAAAAAATCTAATTACCTTTTTAAAACAAGTTTCAAAAACTTGAATCCGTTACCTTTGTTACCTATAAGTGTAGAAGTAACCTACTCATATGAAAAATGAATATAAATTAGACCATATGAGTATATTAAAACCACATTCATTTGTGAGGTTTTTGTTTAGATAAAGGTTTGGAAGTGATTAAAATATAATAATGAGATTTGAATCAACGAGATCATACTTCACTTTAGTCTATTTTCCATTGAATTCTCTGCCTACCTCGCATAAAGATATAATAAGCTATATATATTGTAAGTTCAGATTTATGTTAAATATGATTAGTAACATCATTACAAACTGCGATTCTAATAATATTTATTGTACTATTAAAATGTTTGATAGATAATATTGCATTAATTTTATTACACTAGTGTAATAAATAAAGTAACAATAGTTTAGTATTATACAGTGTATTGCCTTAATGTGTTACTATAATTGTCACATATTTTTGCCCTTCATACGCTTTCTGTTTTTACCCAATGGTTAGCTGGTAGAGAATGTCATATGGCATTAAACTCGCCATTTGTACAGTTTTATTGTGCAATAAAGAATAAATAAATAAATTGAATTTCAAAATTTACGACTAAAATTTTTTTAATGGATGAGAATCGAATGTTAATCCCACCCGCAATAACGGTATACACCGGCAGGGCACCAGTGAGTGTTGATGGGTGAGGGTAATAAGACAGGTCTGTGAGCCCATTATGATGAATACACCTGGAATTCAGCACGATAGTTTCCAGCACGATGGCTTATGCTATGCTATGGATGGATGCTAGCAATGGGGCCTTTGCTCTCCATCATTATTCATCCCCCACCCAAAAATAATTAAGTTGGCAAACCATCGATACAGATTAAGAAAATAGGCAACCTATGTAGACAACAGTGTTTGTTTAAAACCTAAAAAAATAGGTAAAAAAAATTAATAAAGTTCAGTTATAGCCACAAATAGTAAGTTTAAAGAGCGATTTATTTCTTAGAGCAATTCCTTCCAGGTAACCAGAAGCATAGACAGTGGCAGTAGCGATTGGTATATTACTTAAAATATTAAATAAGCTTATATTTATCATAATAACAATAGAGTGTACAAAACAAAACAATAATTCTTCAAATAAATGGTTACATTTACATGATGGTCACCTTTTGTACGTACAGATATTTCACAATAATTTCTAATGAAATATCCACGCGGTTGTTATCTCAGCAAATTCAATCGAATGCGTCTTATATTGCTAAATAATACATGAGTCAACACTAACAGACTGTGGATGCAAACGCAGCAAGTCCGCTAGCAATCTGACGACCAGCTCCGAGGGTGTGTGCCTCAAGACAATAGCCAACTTGAAGGCCGCCGGTTGTATCACATCGTCTATCCCTTTAGCTAACAAGTTCTGCCATACTCCAGCCTGTAAAACGTCAATGGATAACAAACATTACATTGTTGTCGTTGTTCGATATAAAACAAAATGTATATAGGTGAGGAGGAAACTTGTTTACCAAATGTGTGTGAGCAAGAAATGTTTGAGCACTTTACTAAAGAAATGACTGTATTTATAGCGAATGTTAATGTGTGTGTGATTGTTTTGAACGGATTGTATTGATATAATTATAGAGCACGGGCACTGTAGATTACGTATGTACCTTGATAAATAATCTAATAATATTTATATTGGTTTGAGAATTAGATATATTTGTAAGATTTAAAATGACTAATATTTAAAACTAGTTCTTATGCTCACGATATTGTTCATATGCGAAACTATGAATATTTCTAAAGATTTTTTCTGTGGTAAAAATACTTTATATGTAGGTATACTATATATATAATATACCTACGTATAAATTTCATTATTATTGGTGTTTCTGTGTATTAAACGTAACTATAATAATAATAATTAAAAATCGTGTCCCGCAAAAAAATCGACATCAGTTGTGAAGACAAAACTATTTTTTTAGATAAAAAAGAATTTTCGAAATCGACTTAGAACTAACGGAGTTATGAGGTAACAAACATAAAAAAAAAAAAAATACAACCGAATTATGAATATTCTTCTTTCTGAAGTCAGTTAAAAATTTTCAAATAATGTTCCATGATCATCAAGTATAATCAATACTCAATATTGGTTATTTCCATATATTCACATAAGACTAAGTCGATTCTAAACTTAATAATATCGGGTTGGTCTCTAATTTACTATATTTAAACTACGTATTCTATTGAAGTTGGTAAAAAGGAACCAAACTGCCAGTGTAAAAAAAAAATACTAACCTGATAAGCGACGCAGTTCCTCAACGAGTGCCAAATACCATCAGGAGGCGAGGATTCGACGATCTGCTGCCAGGCATCGTCTGCGCCGGGGGCCACCAGCGTGCAGCACGCACCGCGCCACATGCGTGCTGCGGCGCATCCTTCTCGCTCGCCGGCGGGAACTGGCATATAGAAAATATCAATTGGACACATTCTAGCTAAATAAACGTCTTTATGGTCCTCTAAAACAGGACCAAAATAAATGATGTCGAAACGATAAGCGAAGATATTTTATTTTTCTTTATATTTTTATAAGTGCTCAATGCGTATATAAGATAGAAAAAAATCGTAAATCAATAAAAACGTTAGATAATTATTGTCACAATATAACTCAATCGCATCTCACTCGTTAATAAGAGACAGATAGCAGTATAAAACCATTACCATTACAGTATCATATACACAGTACATATACATCTTTCATCGTTAGTGATGTCAAATAAACACAGCTGATACGATCTATATCAATTTAATTCACGTAACGCAATATAAATATTGACTAATATCGTAATACACAATAATCGATAGCGTACGTCACTACAGTGTCAACCACAGTCCATAACGGTTGATTAAACCTTAGATAAATTTGAACCTACCTACGTTTAAAATCAAGGGCAATAAAGGTAAACAATTGTGTGAAATCACCTCCCATGTCCGGCTCCTTCCACCAGTTTATCGCCAGCTTGTACAGTTTGAGGCCTTAACGCCGTAACGTCACCTGTAAAATAAAATGGTGAATGTTATTAGATACTTAGGTATATATTTGAGGAAAACCAGGGCACCATAAATAATGATTAGCTAGTGCTGCATCTGTGAACATTTTACCGATATTCTTTATCTAAAAATAAGACAAAATTATGTTAATATTAAATACGTCTGCTTTATTTCTATTATTGAGCCAGCAATAATTTTAATTTAAACAAAGAATAATAATAATAAAATAACAAATGAAAACTTACGTGTAATAATCCAGAATGTCCTCCAATTAATTGTTATTTTAATTTAAAAAGCGTTCTATTTTTGAACGTGACAGCCGTCTAGGGCGCTCTCGAGTGTCATGGCGCGCGCGAGTCATTCAGTTAACTCGAGGGGAGGAGAACGCGCAGTGATGTGGGCATAAAAACACTATCGACTGTCGATGTGAATAATTGTATTACCGTTACCGAAGCGGTCATGACAAGCTAACGTGCACGCTAGTGGCTGGTTTTAATTGCATATTGTTCTATATTTTATAGCGTAAATTGATTATATTATGATATAGAATAATCGAGCTTTGGAAAATATATTTCGGTCGATTCCACTTTATGAGTAAGATAGACAAACTGTTTTATATAAAATCATAAAATGTATTCATTAAATCCTCCATTCAATTAATCATATATTTGCTAAGACATTACAAGTTTATATGAAACGGTGGGTTTCCTCAAGTAGTATGTTTGCCTCAATAGTTAACATCCACAAGCAGTTTTTAAGAATATTTCATTTTACCTATCTAAAATATATAGAAATGCATTTTAGAATACGTATGAAGTCTATGTTTCGACCTTTGAAAGTCATCATCATCCATTATTTAAAAAAAAATCTGAAGGCTTTCAGCTTTTTAACAATTAATTAAATCGATATCAGTGACTGGTGAACTGTGAAATAGCGAACGATATCAACGATCTCATCTCTAAATCTCATGGGATAACGGCGTGAATTGTGGTCCCAGTCTCCAACGTCTACAGCAGGATATAGGTTTGTTTGTTTGTTTGTTCATCAGGATATAAGTAGTTTAATAGGTAAGTCTCCAAGTATATACGACTTAACATACGCGAGTTTAATACTAAATACATTCCACAGCCAATAGAGCGGAATAAAGGCTACAAAGAACAAAGTATTGGCCAGAGATTTAGCAGATTGGTGTAGCCAACTGACAAGGTTTGAGACCGATATTGATGATATGATTTTCATCACATCTAAGATTTTTTCCCCTCAAAGTCTGTCTACGTACTATTGTCGAGAGTCTTGTCTACCACTTGTCTTACGCGCAAACTCATTAAGGTTCAGTAAGGTTGCGATGTCTATCCGAGTACAGAACCAGAGTATGAAACCTATCCCAATATAGATCCTGAGCATCCCAGGTGCGAGAAAACCAGTTATGATTGAGAACACTACGCTCAAAGTTGTTGACAAGGGACAACCTGCCTAACCTGGTATGTCTGACTCCGATTAAGAAGTTAGCCAATGAATCCAACTCAGCTGTACAGCGTTTGGAAAACTACTAAATAAACACCAGTTTCAGTAAGTCTTGATCTTGACTTATCTCTCAAATAAAGCATATTGTGATCAAATATTTGTACTTTTTATCTATATTTTTTGGATTAATAAAAAATGTGTAAATATTATATGTACCTACTTATTAGTTTAATAATAAATATTGTTGTCCTAGATTTTAATTTTAATCGATAAACTATGTTATGCATCACTAATTCTTACGGGGGAGAGAAAAAGTGTATAACGCATGCGCGAGGGTGGTTGAATAGAAAGGCATTTGTGTGGAACTTCCACTACAACGAGACAATAATTGAAAATATGATTGCAACCTTGTTTACTACCATATAGAGTATAATTTACATTGAATTCTTATTGGTCACGGATGAAAAATTTAATTTTCAAATTTAAGGCATAGGGATAAGAACTATATTCCTGTGATAATGTTTGTTTATAAGACCATGACTCATAGACCTTCAAGTTCAGACATCCGTTCAACTCGTAGAAATTACGAGGATGTTTTCAGATACCGTAGTGTCGACGCGTGACGTTATTTCAAGGTAATTAGAGAAAGAAAGCGCTAAAATGTTTACCGGATCTTCAAATATAGTACGTATAAACATACGTTTAAGGTAGAAACCTTTATAACACAGGCTTTAAAGGTCATATTTATCTATCTTAATAAGGGTACGGTATTTGGGCCAATCCTAAGGGCTTTTTTTGTATATTGCTAACTTGGAACGAAATAGCAACCAAATGGGAAGTGGTAATCATTGTCTATAGACATAAGCAGCACCATGAATGTCATATTGTCTCCATATCCTTTAATTTCATTACTATATTTCACCTTTTAAACTGAAATACACACAACATACTCATGCAAGCAAAGTTGCTTCAGGACAGGAGCAGGATGGGACTGTGATACCCAAGTAGATGACTTTCGTAAAACTCTGTTTTATTCAATTGGGAAAGTAGTTTCAACGGAGTAATATGACCAAGGAAACGAAATCATCTTTGGCTCTTATTAAATAAAAAAGGAAATTTACAGGTTTATGATATTGTAAATAAAACCGTTTATTTATAGTGAAAAGTTTAATAATTTTAAAATACATTACGTAATTATAATCTACACGTTATCGCGTGGCGGCTCACAACTGACTCACAATACACAAAAATTGTAGAAAAAAAAAAAACAATAAAAATTAATTTTCATTGAAAGCGTAAAAATTTGCTCAACACGAGTGCGCTTTACTCGAGCATGCGTTTTCAGAGGTCATTATTACCGGTGTACTTACGCCAAGGACATCAGACCTAAGAAGTTGAAGCAAATATAAAGGGAAGTTTTGCCCCTCGTTTGCGCACGTCAAATACCCCCCTCCCTTTCCCCCTCTCATGCGATGTCATTTCTAAGGACTACACTGCTTGCCTCTATACCTGATAATACTACCATCTTTTTATAACCTTTTATGTGTACTAGTGGTCGCCCCATGGTCGACATTCGACCATAGCGTATATTGTAAATAAATGAATTTATTATAGTTATGTTTGACATTCAGTAAGACTATAGACAAATATAAAGACAAACCATATTAATCTATTCTCAATTTGACCACAGACTTTAACAATAAACAAAAGAGTATTTTTGCGCGCGTGTGTGTGTGTGGTAAATACATGGTAGTGTGTGTAATGTTATTTTTAATGATTTAATGTATTTTTTTGCATAACTAATAAAATATATTAGCTTTCTGCATTTCTTCTTAATATAAACTATAATTGTGCGAAATTTCATGGTCCTCCGTCTACGCAATTATCGTAAAAAGGGGTACAAAGTTTTTGCTTCACATATTAATATACAGTTATATATTATTTATAGACGAGGGATTGGCAACATCTTCTTAAAACCTTTCTAAAAGCCTAACTGCGGTTGCCAACCCGCCTGCCAAGCGTGGCAACTATTGGCAAAACTCCTCTTATGGGAAGGCTTATGTTCAGCAGTGGACAGTTAACGGCTGAAATAAGTATATATATATATATACTATTATCTATTAATTTATAGACCCATTATAGGGTCCTGTAAGCACAGCTGTTTCACAATAGATAACATTTCAATTAATAGAAAATCACAGATATAGACAGTTCTAATATTGTATAGGATAAAGTTCCTCCCAAACATTAAATCTGTCTTCGAAGAGTCTCTCTCGCACTTGGAACTGGCTGCCGAGGTGTAGGTACTCGCGTTTGGAGGGCGTCATGGGCGGCCAGTGCAGTGAGCTCAGCTCGGGGAATCCATCTCCGTGAGGGTTCGGATCTCTGAGGAACATAGAATTGTCGAAAGTGATGTTTGAAACTCTACCATTATTACGACCTATACATTCTCCACTGTTGAATCTAAGTCTCCCCATATTTCTTCAATACTGCAACCTCTTAAGATTATTGCTTCATCTTGCAGGAGGACGCCCTATATTACGTTTGTCCATGCGGGGTTGAGACTCGAGACTCGAGACTCGAGACTCGAGACTCGAGACTCGTGTTCTCCATCGGTTCTTGGTAGCTCTTCATTTGCCACTTCAGCTTGCTGATTTTCCAGACTATGATGGTCTCTTTGATTCGTCTGCGGATTACTATGTTCCAACTTCTATCTCTCTCTTTAAACTCAAATACTCTAACTATCATCCGTAATTCCCAAATGAGGTAACCAGAGACATTTCTCGACAGTTACCGTTGTTTTTTTTAGAGATGAAAATGGAATGGTATGCTGGTGATATAACAGTGAAGGCTAAGAAGAGAGGATGCTGTCTGGTCATTTAATTCATTATCATCATCATTCACCACAAATTAACCACTACGATTTTCAGAGAAGACTGGGTAAAAATACCCTTGACCGAGTATATATTTTTTATGGATGATAATGGTATATTAAACCCGCCTGCACTAGGGGAAAGGGATTGTTAGTAATGGAGACTAAGAACCCCATTGCTAGCAATACACCCAACCAGGACGACCTTCACGCGGTTCCCCCTGGAAACTATCATGGTTCATTCCTGATGAATTCATCATGATGGGCTAACTGGCCTGTTTTCATTCTCATCGATCACCTTTTACTGGTGCTCCGCCAGCGTACCCCGTTAGCGCTGGCAGGGTTATCATTCCATTTTAATTCATCGAAAAAAAAAAACCCTCTCGCGTTATCGGTTTACAGTGGGGGGAATCAGAGAGAAATGATAGGCGAGGATGAAATCAAGCCAGTTTGCCTTATCGTGACTAATTCATTGTAAATTAACCAAAATGGTTTTCAGGGAGAACCACAAAGAAGTCAACCTGACAGGGTATATTGCTAGCAATGGGGTTGATGGTTCCCACTACAGACAATACCTTTACCTTGACAGAGTACATTCACAGCAGTGATTAACGCCCGTATTACTAATAACTGCTTACACTTAATTGTATGTCTTTACATTCAAGTCTTACCCATGTATAGCAAAGTTGTAGTAGATGGCTGTCATCCTGTCCACCAATAGTGAGTCGAGGGTATCGGAGGCGCTGATGATAGGGAACGAGGCCGGCAGCGAGAACAGGTATATCAGGTCATCGTGGTGGGCTGCCACTGTGAGACAGAGTTATTTTACTTTAGTACAACACAGTATATTAAAATATTTGGAGAGATTTTGGCATGAGGTTAATCAAAAAAGAGGTAAAGAGGTTTCTTCAGGGTTGGCACTACGCACGTAAAAAAGCATATGCCCTGGTATTGCAGGCGCTTATAGGCTACAGTAATCGCTTACAATTAACCATACATTTGTTTGTCACCTTAGTTGAATAAAAAAAATACAACAACTCTAGCACGATGATTTAAATGTAAAAGAAATTGGATTCTCGTTCTATTAAATTTTATAAATAAAACTACAAAATTATTGTCTGGGCTCTATTTGCTACAACCCAGAATACTCTGGGCTATGTCCTCAAATTTATGTAATTTGGTTTCTTTCATGTCACTGAATCAGAGAATCAGGTGACATTTATAATTCTTAAAGCATATGTATGGGGTTTTGGGAGTAGAAGAGCAATATAAGGTCAGCAATACACCTGCAATTCGTTTATTCCGGTGTCTATAGGTGGCGGTAATTATTTGGCATCAGGTGAGCCGCATGGTCGTTTAATTCTCCATGTTATAAATAAAGCACACGAAGGGACAGCTTGGCTGCACCATTTTATGTGTGGGCAGCACAACAGTATCTATATGACCAAACAAGTACCTAAGAGATGACGTCATTTCTAATACCTATAGGTTTTCCAGTGGTAGGGTCTTCGTAATGGCTATGATTGCCAACGTACGCAAACTCGTAGTAATACACTTTGTGGGGAGAGTGCCGGCACATCAGGTTGGCCATTCTGTGAAATCATATATTTGTTAAAACTGAAAAAAGAGTATAAATGTAGAGGGTATAACAGTATAAATAGAATAGATTATTTAGATTCGGAGATATGCAGGTGATAGCATCACGACTATACAGTACGTGGCCCTAGATACTATTGGAGAAGAAGAAAATGATGGTGGTTGTGATCTTCACACATGAGAGATCGAGCGACATAAAGAATACGGCAGAAACTAACGAGTGATACACCACAAGACAAGACAATTTAATAAAAGTATTGAATAGTATATGTCAAGTCATATATATATAGCATATTCTATTACTCTCTCCTTTCATGGCAACTTATGAACGCTTCAAAACCTGATGCATTATCCAAGCGTTTCCTATCCTTGTGTAATTAAGATTTCGCGTTGTCGACACATATTTTAAACATACATATGTCATGTCACAGTACTCAGCAATTTTAGAAACTTTGCCCTTTAAATGTACATCTCAATAACTGATTGGTCTCACCTATGTACACCAAATCCAATAAGAGAATCACCATACAACTTCCCCAGTCCATCTGCTGTAAACGTGTCATTGACCAGCTGTTTCCCATCTAAGAATGCCTGTCGCAGACGGTTGGCTGAAGGTATTGCTGTCTTGTCTTTGGGGAGTATGAACGCGATTGGAGCTAATCTATCCCATTCAGCGTTCATCGAGTCGAGAATTGTTTGGTTTCTGAGTACAGCTGAAAATAATTACATTCATCACTAATAAATACTTGCTAGCATCGTTGTTCATTCTTGCTTAGTTCATCACGGTGAGCCAACTAAACTGCTGTCATCCTCACCTATCATCTCTTACTGGTATCCCACCAGCTTATATTGATAGCGTAGATGGAAATATCATTCCATGATCACCAGTTAAAAAATAATACTTGTATGAAGGTATAGATAAGAGTTTTAGAAACTCAAAGAAGTCAGCTTATTCGTTTAGAACCTATGATACCATTAGTAAAATTGCATGAGTGACCTGTGATTTTCAGCAAGTGCAAACCCCTGTCTAACTTCAGTGAACTTTTCAACAAGGTTTTCAACTTCGATTACCCTAAAAAATGGATGTGCCCAAAATACAGAAAGAAGCATTTTATAAAATGCTTCGTGGGAATATTAATTTTATTAAAGACTCGAGACCGAGAAAGTACACTGAAAATAGGCAGAAATCGCACTTACTGAAAGTCACACAGACAAAGGTTTTAAATTTCTATCGCACATTTTTGTATCGACATTTAAAGAGGACTTGGGTAATTGTGATGAAGTACTTATATAGAGAGATAGATACTCTTGTTTCTTCCAAAAGATACGTACATACATACACGTAAATGTAAATTCAAATAAAAATGTACATACATGTAAATTCAGATCAATCTATCTACTTATACTGTGCTCTCCTAATGGTAGGAACATGAGGACATGTTATTTCTGGAATCTTTAGGAGCCTCAGTTTCCTCTGCTTGTTCCTTAAAAAACTGACTATGATTATAGATATAAGTCCTTACTGAATGCTTTCCAGAAGAACTCTGCTTGTGTTTGACTTATAATAAACGGCACTGCATGCATCTTCTTTTGTCGGACCGCGTCCACTGGTTTCATCGTGAGGAACCGCTCCTGTCCGAAGTCCAATTCCACCACTGGTGACCACACTAGGACTGGATCGTACCCGGGAAGCTGAAATGTTAATTATATTGTTGTTAGCTTTTGATCACTTGACTTAGTAACAGTTACCGTGCCCCTAGCGCCTGACTCATATTGGCTATTGTATATTACACCTTTTTTAAAATATTTTTTACTATATTTTATTAGTGTGTAAATTGGTAAGCACTTCAATGAACAAACATAGTCGCTTCTAGTAGGTTCTTCTCATAAATTAAAAATAATACCTAGCTTTCTGTCTCTACAGTTCACCCTAAATTGTCTCACTATCTTGTTTTCTAATGTTGCTAGTCCTTCGAGTTTTATGACCTGTCTAGTGCCATTTCAACTTATTGGACCTTCAGATTATATCACTTTAGTTCTTCTGCTCGTTCTAGATTATATCAAGCAGTAAAACTAGATCGAGTAGGAGGTATGGTATGACTAGCTGTGTGGTACACATGTTCTTAGTTCTTACTAATAAAGATAAACAGAAAGGTAACTACTTACGAAGAAACCTTCTAATGAATTCCCGATTTCTCTAAAGGTCTTTGTCTTCAAGCAATCGACAATGACTTTAGAGCTGTTAGTAGGGCATCCTAATAATTCCGCTTGCTTCACTGCTAGATACTTCAGGTCGTGAGTGTCTGCTACTTGGGAGATGGGTGACCCACTAATAGATATGGCGCGGTGGAACAGACCTGAAAGTAAAATTGTATATAAAAAAAACTTCAGAAATTGTAAGTATAAATAATTATAATAATAATACCCTTACAAGAATGTCTAAGTTTTACCAACGGATAAACTGTGTGATTTTTTTTATTCAACTTAGAATGGCAAACAAGCTGATGGCCCACCTGATGGAAATTGGTAACCGTCGCCTATAGCCATGGGCAGTACCATGGACATAACAGAGTATATTGTTTCACCCATGATAATTCCCATGCGTTCCTGAGGACTCAGGTGTTATTCCTCCGTACCCAGTAAATTCACGCCATATCCCACCCTTCAAACTGAAACACAATCATGCAAACACAACTGCTTTACGGTTGAAACACGACTTTTGTATAAAGTTTCCTTCTGATGTTATGATATTTTGTTTCTAAGATTTTATCACTGGTGTTTTCGAGATTATGGTACCTATTTATGGTAGATTTGTGATTGAAACCCTTTATCATTAGTCATACACATGCGATGTATGTTATTCATTGTTATTATACTAGAATCCTATTTTAAAATTTTTGTGCGTTATAAAATTGCATGTAAATAGAAAACCAGTTGCAGCAGCATCTTAAACAAATTAGTCTTTTGGAAAGAACTTCTTACAGTTTTCATCACTGAAACTTTGAACGTTGAATTGATGAATACTTATACCTTTAGACATAGGGGAGATCATATGAAGCATGACACTGAAAGATCCAGCGCTGCAGCCAGTGATGGTGACGAGATTAGGATCTCCGCCAAAGGCACGGATGTTTCGCTGCACCCAACGTAGCGCCACCACCTGATCTTTGAAACCATTATTTCCTGGAGCCACTTCATCGCCCGTACTAAGGAACCCTGAAAATTTCGATTACAATAGTGAATTTCATTATATTGTACCTCAGTCGTATCGACTACATTCAAAATTATATTATAATAAACCGAAGATAATTGAAGAATCAGAAAATTTGAAGAAATGTGTAAATTGACTAAATTGTTTTGATAATTGTTATGGGTTTCCGCTTATGTTATTTAGATATCTTTTGTTAGTTAGTTACCTGTTTACTCACCATAAGAAATCCATTGATGTTTTTTTAAATTAATTTAAAATGTTGTAGCTAGTTTTTAGTATTTAGGTCAAACAGTTTTTTTATAAGTAAACTAGCTGACTCCGTAAACGTTGTTTTACCACTTATTGCGAAATATAAAAATCGCAATTAAAATACAGGGGTTGATCGTAAAACGATGAAAATTTAAAGTTGTATGTATTTTTCAATACTAAATTATAATAAAATAAAAATAAAAAATAGTAAAAAAAAATTAAAAAAAAATATTTTGGGGTGGGTTACCCTTATCATTGACGGGTATGAAAAATAGATGTTGGCCGATTCTCAGACCTACCCAATACGCACACAAAATTTCATAAATATCGGTAAAGTCGTTTCGGAGGAGTTTGGTAACAAACACCGTGACACGAGAATTTTATATATAAGATGAATTTGTGATCCTAACTAGTTTTTTTTTTTATTCTAAAAATATCAACGGTACAAAGCATATGGCATCCATGTAAGATTGCAAAACTCGATATTACCCTGTACCAAAACAGCTTGACTATCATGGAAGCAAAATACACTGCCCATATAACGAGAGACTTATGCCCAGTTATAAGACGTTAATAGATTCTCAAGGTAAAAAAATGATAACGAAAAACTCTCTGATTTAACAAAAGTAGTTACCTAGTGAGGCCAGCCTGTAGTTGATGGTGACTAGCACCACGTCTCGGTCCAGAAAATATTTGGGCCCGGCGACATCGCTTCGCCCTGATATCGAGTAAAAACCACCTGAGTGCATGTAGAATATCACCGGTAAAGGTTTCTTGCTGGAAAACAATAGATTGATTAATATTATGGATTTTTTATGAAACAAGCTGACGGGCTACTTGATGGAAAGTGGTAACCATTTATAGACATGGACAGCACGGGGGATATTACAGAATACTGTGATACAAATTAATTGGCAAAAAAACTAGTGGGATAAAAGGCAGATGACTTTTGTACAAAGTCTCTCTCCGGTATCTCGCTGTATCATCCTCATCTTCAATATCTCAGTCATTATCCGTCCTCTGCTGAACATAGGCCTTCCTCATAGAGTGCCATAAGGAACAGTCCTGAGCCACCTGCATCCCCGGACTCTCTGCAATGCATTCGTCCGTACGGGGTCGCCACTCAAGAACTTTCCTTCCCTATCAGTTGTCGGTTCTTCAAGCTATGTGACCAGTCCTTTGCCACTTTGGCTTGCTTATCCTTCGGGCTATATTGGTTACTTTGGTTCTTTTGCGGATATCCTCGTTTCGGATTCTATCAAGCAAAGAGACTCCGATCATATCCAGAGGGATGGAGAGCCATAGTCCACTGAGTATTAGCTGTATGTTTAACAAATATGTCACCGTATATTAGGTAAATATTATTCAAATTTATCAATCTAAATTAACATTAAATTATTAAATATTCTGACCCTTTACCCAATTCTGATTTAGTATTCTAAATTCGTTCTAAAGGTTTTCGGTAAGTATTTATATCGTTTTTTTTATCCAAACAGGATGTTGGCTTGTTTGCCATTCCAAGTTGCATAAAAGATCCGGAATAGCTAGCTCTACATTCATTCAAAAATTCAATTAGTCAAACAGAAATCAACAGAGAATTGATTACCTTTTACTGTTTGGTGTGTAAACGTTAATCCTCAGGCAGTCTTCATCGATGTAGTAGTCGCCCTCTGTTGGCTGGGGGCAGGCTGGTCCCTCCTCTCTCGCGTCTACTTCTGTCTTGTAATGGTGGATTGGTTTCGGTGGCTAGAAGAAGGAATAAAGATTTTAAAGTTTCATATAATTGAGAAGGAAGGTTCTTGAGAGGCGATCCCGTACAAGCAAAAAAGTATAGAACGATCTCCACTAGATACGAGTGATGACCTCAAATGTATTGCAGTAAGTCAGTGGTTGTAGGTAGCTCAGGACGGTTCCTTATGGCAGTCTATGGGGAGCCTCCCATAAGGAGGCCCATTATCAGCAGTGGACGGATAATGACTGATATGATGATGATGAAATTGTCTCCCATATAAACTACCATAAGAACGGTCCATGGTTACCGTCCTCCTCCGTCTTCCTTTCAACACATTTTAGATCAACTCTCCACCCAGTAGGGCGCCGTCTTGTGCTGCTTTTGCTTGTATGGGGTTGTTATTCGACCGTAATTTATAGGATCATCATAAATGAATTCCATTACTACACATTAAAAAAAAGTGTTAACAAGTTTATTAATTGAATACATATAAAAAACAACACGTGGATCGTATATGCTTTGATTGCCACTGTAAATTTTCTAATAAATATTTGAGTAATAAATGAATACGTGGGCAATAAATACCTGAAAGCGGAGCTCTCCAACCGGTGGTTCTGCATATCTAATACCCCGGTACCCTTCGAAGCGGCGCCCACGACGAGTCTCCATCCAAGAGCCGCGGATGGCTCCAGAGGGCGTTATTGTAACAGGACTGCTTTCATTTGGTTGCGGAACTATGGAATTGATACTTACATTTAATTATGTGCATATATTTTATCATTTAATGAAAATATTCAATAAAATATCGCTCAATTTAAATTCCCCACTAACTTTTTACTATTGGGAAAAAACAGTTAACAATCCGAAATGGCGGTAGACTTGCCAACTTGTTAACAAGGGAGGGCTTATCTCTGAAAGAGATCTCTTCCAGCCAACCCAGTGTAGTTAGAGAGAAAATCCAGTGCAGGAAAGGTACCGGTGAAAATAATGTAAATACAACAAACACAAATTGTGAATAAATATATATATATATATATATATATATATATATATATATATATATATATATATATATAATAAATAAATATATATAGATAAATATATATACATATGTATAAGTGCATAGAATTATCATGTACAATTGGTTAAAAGATGTGATTTCAGTCTCCTCTTGAAGGAAGTAATGGAAGGACTATCCCGTATGTCAGCAGGTAGCCTGTTCCACAGTTGCGCAGCACGAAATGTGAAAGAGTTTCCAAAAAATGGATCTTGCAAGAAGGGAGTTCTAAAAGTTTGGGCACATTTTTACATTGTCACACATTAAAAAAAATGTATCCTTCCGTAATATTTACGAAACGTAATACAATTTTAAACGGACGATGACGAGTGAGAATAGGTTTATCACCATTTTTTTCTTATCTTTACGATGCAGTAAAACAAAATAATAAACCAATCCAAAAGAAGGAAAACCCTAAATGAAATCCTATAAAAAACCACTTGGCCAATTTAATAAGTGTAAAATAATAAGCTAGACTTATCTTCGACAGTGATAGGGGAGCACGGGGGAATTGGCGCCACTTAAGCTAAAACTTAAATAACTTTTTGTATTAATCACTTTTTATTTTAATTCTTTCTTTTAATTATAATGTAACTAATCAGGCTTATCCTGTTAATATAGAAATTAAATAAACATACTTAAAATTAAAATTATTCTTACTTAAAAAAAAAGTAACATAGGCTCCCATTGCCAAGAGTACGGGGTAATTAGAACCAGAAATAGGGGCAATAAGATCCACCGGGGTAATGGTAACCACAATAACAATATGTAACAAAATATTGTATAATTATACATTTTCCTCATGTGTTTATAAACTAAACTTATTCTCATTCAAAATGTAATTATATTATCTTTAGGAACATGCAAAATCACAGTTAATTATATGTAATTAAAAACAATTATCGCTTCATACAAAAATCTATAATCTATAATACTAGTTGACTCAGGTTTGCGAACACTGATATTAGTATTTCTTTTCAAAAATCCTTTAAGTCAGTCTGGTCCCGCACATTTAAGTTCCTTATTAAAATTATGAGATATCTTCAACTGTTCAGCACACTCGTATGCTAATTTTCTAAATTTCATGGAGTTAAAGCCGCAAAAAAGATTCGACATGTGAATGAAATGATCAGCCAAAATTTGTTCTTGAGCTGGAGAAAATATTGGTTTCCTTCCGAGACGAGGATTGGTTTGTACTGCTCTGCGATACCTTTTTTGCAAAGTACTATATGGATTATTAAACTTGGGCGGCCTTATGCAGAGATATTCCATCTTCATTGACTCTCTTGATAGCACGGTGTAGTAACATCCAGATTCCACTGACATTTATCCGTAATCTTATCTCGTTTTCAAGGATTCTGAAAAAAAAAAACTACAAGAAATGAAGTGAGTAATGAGAACCATTCGACTCCCATTTCCCCAAATACTCATTTTTAGGTTTTCATATAATTGTCAAAATACAATTGCTTATTTACATAAATTAACCTTTTTATACGATACTCTAATGATAAATCTATAAGATAAAAGAAGCAAAACTAATAATAAAATAAATTAAAAACTCACAATTTGTCCTTGAATGTTGTCAAAAATTAGATGAATAGCTTAAAAAACTGACGTGCTCTTTATTTGTGTACTAAAAGTCAACTAAACGGTGACACAACGAAATATGCACCCCTCCCGCGTCCTTTTGTAATACATTAAAACAAAACAGGGTCTAAATTGTCAAGAAGCATGTAAACTAGAGTAACTCCCATTACCCTGTGGCTCTGATTCCCCCCTGCTCCCCTATATCCTAATTAATTACTATATGAAATAAATTAACTAGTATATGAATGATTTTTTGAATAAATTCTTTCTTTTTTTCTTTCAAATGGAGAAAGGCATATTCTATGTCGGATTTATACTGGTCAGTAAACATATATCGGTCACGCGAACGAAGTCGCGGGTAAAAGATAGTAAATTATATATTTATTATACATATTTTTTTTAAATCTGTACAGCAAATCTGATTGACAGATCTGATAACGTCGTATCATTACAGATATTGATAGAAAAACAAAAATGGCGTCTTTTTAACCATTTTATATCAGTTGAAAAAAGGTGGGAAGGGATTGTTAGTAATGGAGACTGAGAATCCCATTGCTAGCAATATACCCAACCAGGTCGACCTCCTCGCGGTTCCCCCTGGAAACTATCATGGTTAATTCCTGATGAATTCATCATGATGTGCTAACTGGCCTGTTTTCATTCTTATCTATCAACCTTCACTGGTGCTCAGCCGGCGTATCCCGTTAGCGCAGGCGGGGTTACCATACCATTTTCACCCATCAAAAAAAAATCATTTAAAAAAAATGTACCCATATCATTACAATCTGTCAACTGCTGGCAAAAAGTTCAAATAAGAAAAGCTGGGACTATAGTCAGAAGGTATAAATAAAGCAATCAGGGAAAAAACGCTTCAAAATAAAGTAATAGGAAAAACCCCTATACCTATTAGGTAAGTAACTAAATTACCTATTTATTAACAAAAAATAGTTCTTTGAGCATCATTGAGATATTGAGTTTGCTTACATTTTCCTTGTCATGTTTAGCGATAAAGTTATCATTTATAGCAGCCGTTAACTGCCCACTGTTGAATATAGGCCTCCCCCATAAAGGGGGTTTTGCCAGTGGTTGCCATGTTTGGCAGGCGGGTTGGCAACCGCAGTTAGATTTTTGGTTAATTAAAAGGGACGCTGGTTATTATCTAATAAAAAAATCTATTTAATTCAAAGACATCCATGATTTTATCAGAGGGAGACTTTGTACAAAAGTCGTTTGCTTGGGTACCTCTATCCCATTCGTGTTTCAACCTTGAAGCAGTTGTGTTTGCATGGCTGTGTTTCGGTTTGAAGGGTGGGATATGACGTGAATTTACTGGGTACAGAGGAATAACACCTAAGTCCTCAGGAATGGCAACGCATGGGGGGTATCATGGGCGAAACAGTATACTCTATTATATCCATGGTACCGCTCATGTCTATAGGTGACGGTTACCACTTTCCATCAGGTGGGCCGTCAGCTTGTTTGCCATTCTAAGTTGTATAAAAAAATATTGGTGTTAATATTATTAATTAACATAATAATGTTATAAACACTCACCTGAGACCTTATTTTCTCCATTAACAATACCATTGTTTACTGTAACAGCGATAAAACACAGTAGGGCAGTCTTGCACGACATTTTCCTGTTATGTCTCGAGTCAAACTGTGAGTTAAACTAGCATGTTGACTCAATTTATAAAGGCTCATTTAAATTATGGTCCTATAACTAAAATTATAAAGCTGTATGTTTGTTTACAATATCTCTTAGAGTTTTAATTCAGCTAAAGAACGTAAAATGGAAAGGTAACTTCGCCTGTGCAATTAAAGCACCATACGCTGGCGGAGTACTGGCGAATATGTGAGGATAAATTCAACTAGGACTGAGGATAAGTTCACTAAGGTGTTTTACTTCCCATTCATGTTTTGTATCATCTCTCATTGTAATCCGAACTGCGAAAACATCGCAGGCAGGCGTATTTTATTTTTATGCAACTTAGAATGGCAAACAAGCTGACGGCCCCCCTGATTTTAAAGTGGTAACCGTCGCCTATATACATGTGCAGTATCATAGATATAACAGAGTGTACTGTTTCGCCCATGATACTCCCCATGCGTTGCCATTCCTGAGGACTCAGGTGTTATTCCTCTGTACCCTGTAAATTCACTGCCATATCCCACACTTTAAACCGAAACACAGCCATGCAAACAACTGCTTCACGGTAGAAACACAAGGTGGGAAATGTAGGTGTACAAGCACTCGACTTTTGTACAAAGTCTCTCTCTGGTATATAAAAATAATATGATTTTATCTTTGATATTTTCAATATTTCGATTCGGTGAGAATATTCTATCGCTTTTAAAAATATAACAACGAGTGATAGGGAAATTTTAAATATTAAATTCATTGTAAATTTTCCCCATACACATGTACGTACAAAGCAAGTTATGTCAGCAAGCAACTAATAGCAGTATAAATGTAATTCACGTCAATGTGCCTGAGAAATTCTGCTAATGTTCAATGAACATAATAGATCAGGAAACCTAGCACATTCCTAACGCAGTAACCGTAGATGACTCTATCAAGTAATTGTAGCGAATCTTGGATGATAAATACATGTAGCTTTGACACTATGGAAATAAAAATATGTGTTTGTTTCTTAGATTTTTTCCTCTGTTATATATATATATATAAAGTATAAGTAAAATTCTGTGTACATTTAGTGGACTTAACACTGGACGATGTTCTCTACCAGTCAACCATTGGGCGAACAGAGAAATAAGTAGGCGGTGCATTATTGAATAGAGGAAAAATAAAGCAATACTTGATATATTCATATAATATAAACATATAATATAATTAGACTACTATAATATATCTAATTAGATTAGGCGTTTGACCACATTTTTACCTAATTTCAAATTATGTCTGTGATTTCAAGTGACAAAGAGGTCTAATGTATTACAGGCAAGCTCAAATAATATATTTCCAATTTGGCCTTGAAAACAATTAAAAAAATAATAATAAAAGAACCATTTTTTATATCTCATTTTTTAAGAGCATTATATTTTTCTTATAACTTCACAGATTTATTAAGTTTAATCCGTTTTATATAACAGATTTCGAATATGCTGTTTAAATAACAACAACTCTACTGTATGTTTTTAATATTACTATTATTTGCTTGGTGTAGCATTTTTTTTTTATTTTCAAGTGATACTTTGAGATTCATCATAACAGCAATAGTATCTTTGACTGATAACATTCCTATGCATCTGATAGTCAATTTGATAGACTTTTATCATAAATATGAGATGTTATCCGTAACTTTGTTTGGTTAATATCGACAATTATGGTGACTTCAGCATATTGAGTATACCAGAGGGAGACTTTGTACAAAAGTCGATTGCTTGGGCACCTCTGTCCCATTCGTGTTTCAACCGTGAAACAGTTGTGTTTGCATGACTGTGTTTCGGTTTGAAGGGTGGGATATGGCAGTGAATTTACAGGGTACAGAGGAATAACACCTGAGTCCTCAGGAATGGCAACGCATGGGGGCAACGCAAAATCTTAATTTATTACATAATTTAGAGTAAATTGACGGCACACCAAATAAATAAATGGCCGTGTGGTCCCAGTATAGAATAGGCCACCCCTTCCTTTCCCGCGAGTTTCGTAAAAGACGACTAAGGGAGGGCGAGGGATTGGCAGCAGCGTTCGTCTTAAAATCTAAAGCCTGATTGTGGGTGCCAATCCGCTCGCCAAGAGTGGAAACTACTGGCAAAACTTCCAAGGGGGAGGTATATGTTCAGCAGTAGACATTTTTTTTTAATGGGTGATAATGGTATGGTAACCCCGTCTGCGCTATCGGTATACACTGGCGGGGCACCAGTGATAGATGACTGATGAGGATGAAAGCAGGTCAGTTGGCCCATCCTGACGAATTCAACTAGAATTAGCCACGATGGTTTCTAGGGGGAACCGCGTGGAAGTCTACCTGACAGGGTATATTGCTAGTAATGGGGCTATTTGAGCCCACTGCTAACAATCCCTTTCCCCCAGCAGTGGACAGTTAAGTGCTGGTATAATGATAAATTCTGTTTAGCACTATTACTGCCCACTCACTACTTGCTATGCCACTGCGTTAGGTTGACTGGAAGAAATCTCTTTTAGAGATAAGTTCGCCTTTGCTAACATTGTTATTAACTTATTGTTGTTACTGTATGTTTTAGTGCAATAAAGAATAAATAATATGATGATGATGATGATACCAAATTAAAAATGGTTACTATTTTTTTTTATACAACTTAGAATGGCAAACAAGCTGACGGCCCACCTGATGGAAAGTGGTAACCGTCGCCTATAGACATGTGCAGTACCATAGACATAACAGAGTATACTGTTTCGCCCATGATATCCCCCATGCGTTACCATTTCTGTGGACTCAGATGTTATTCCTCTGTACCCTGTAAATTCACGCCATATCCCACCCTTCAAACCGAAACACAGCCATGCAAACCCAACTGCTTCACGGTAGAAACACGAATGGGACAGTTACTCAAGCAATCGACTTTTGTACAAAGTCTCCCTCTGGTAGTTTGGTATTTGAAGTCAGTTAAAAAAATAGTGTAATTCGGTTATATAAAAAAGTATATATATCATTAAGATATTTATTTATTTTAGACAACTTGAGACCATTTTGGTTAATAAATGTAACTTAAATGCACAGCCAGTGCCAGTATTTACGCTAGTTCATGATGCACCGACCTCTATACCATTACCACGATTAGAGATGATAACAATTTAATTAATTTAACGTAAAAGTCTATTTTGTAGAGTTATTAGATATTAGGTACAGTCATATGAGGAAAATAAACATGATTATCGTTGGGAACCCCACGTCGTCACATCATGTCCACACGTTATCTGCACATCCGCACTATGTTTACAGACATTTTATTTGAAAATTTTTCATGTCTTCACTTTTTTTCTTAATTCGTATGTAGTCGGTTGTAGGAATATTCTCTTTTTTTTAATGCAACTTAGAATGGCAAACAAACTGACGGCCCACCTGATGGAAAATGGTAGCCGTCGTCTATACTCGTAGACAGTATCAGTACCATGGATTCTACAGATTTGATTCCTTTAAAAATATCAAAATATATGTTGTAAACAGTCATATGTTTTCATTGCGTTGACTTGGAATTCTAATTTTTATCACAGCTTCAAAGGTTTACAGACATGAGTATTTGTTAATAATTTCAGGTTGATACCTCTATGTGTTTCTCAGAAAAAAGGTCTCAACGAACAGACAGACGGACAACACAGTGATCCTTTAAGCGTCCCGTTTTTCATTTTGATGTATGGAATAATTTAATATCGGTCAAGTGGTACCACTTTCCATCAAGTGGGCTGTCAACTAGTTAACAGCTCCCGATATTTCATAAAAAACAGTACATAAATAAAAATAGACTGTGTTTTATACCGTGGGAAATGTTTAATGATTTTGCCACGATACACTATAGAAATATGGCAACAAAACATCAAAAGAGAAATGTCAGCGTCACAACACGCGATAAGTGTATTGTTGAATGAACTTCACATTTATGGGAAATTATTTGCACTTCGCCGAATGAAAGGCTGACAAAGCAGGTATACAAAGCAAACGTGACACTGTCCATCCCAAAAGGTTGACTGGTAGAGAATGCTACCAGCATTAAGTCCGCCTTTTGTACCATATTTTCATTTGGACAATAAGGTTATTTAAATAAATAAATATGTATGAATATAGGTCTTGGCCGTAGCTGGAAGGGGGGGTATTGAGTGGCAATGCCCTACCTTAAAAGCCTTATCTTAAAATAAAAGGCTCCAAGAAAATTAGACAGATTGGCTTTTTCGAAGTCGCCTAATTATGGTTTCTGCCTTACTAAAAAGTTCTTTTGGCCTATCTTAAACTTGGGTCTAGTTACGGCTCTGAAGTAGGTACCGAGGGAGACCTAGACTAACCTATTATAAAGGGGGGGGGGGGGGGAAAGGGATTGTTAGTAATGGAAACCGAGAATCCCATTGCTAGCAATATACCCAACCAGGTCGACCTCATCGCGGTTCTCCCTGGAAACTATCGTGGTTAATTCCTGTTGAATTCATCATGATGGACTAACTGGCCTGTTTTCATTCTCATCTATAACCTTTCACTGGTGCTCCGTCAGCGTATCCCGTTAACGCAGGCGGGCCTACCATACCATTTTCACCCATAAAAAAAACCTATTATAAAGGGAGGAAGGGATTGTTAGTAATTGGGAGATCGATCCCATTTACTATCAATGTTCTCTATCAGATCGACCTCCACGCGGTTCCCCCTGGAAACTATCGTGACTAATTTATCGTTGAATTCGTCACGATAGGCTAATTGACCTGCCTTTTCATTCTCACCTATCCATCCCTCACTGGTACCCCGCCAATGTATACCGATAGCGCGGGCGAGGTTATCATGCCTTTTGTCAATAAAAAAAACCTATTATAAAACAGATCGATCATATTCTTTCTGAAAGAGAAGTTAATATTTTCTGGAATCGGCGTTAGATAGGCAAGAAAATGCTTAAACTCGTAATGACAGAGGTCTTTGACTCTCGGTTCTCTATGCCTACCCCGCAACAGATTTGGCGTGAAGATAGATAGATGCTTGTACTTATTGATATTGATGAACACACAGAATTAATTAATTAAAAGTATCATTCGTTGTTCTCAAGGAAATGTATAGTTAAATATATTTTTTTTTAAATATTTAGGTTAATGCTCCTTTCCACTCAGCGTTTGCTGGAAGAGAACTCTTACAGAGTTAAGCTCGCCTGTTGTACATCTTTATTTTATATAAATTATATGTTCGTAATTTTTTGTATACAATAAAGTATAAATAAATATATAATATAGTTACATAGACATGAACAGTACATAACAGAGTATACTGTTTAGCCCATGATACTTCCCATGCGTTGCCATTCCTGAGGACTCAGGTGTTATTCCTCTGTACCCTGTAAATTCACTGTCATATCCCACCGCTCAAACCGAAACACAGCAATGCAAACACAACTGCTTCATAGCAGAAACACGTATGTGACAGAGATACCCAAGCAAACGACTTTTGTACAAAATTTTCCTCTGGTAATACATAGAGTACATCCAGATTGAATAGACATACTTTACTCATGAACGTTAATATTCGTATCGTACGGGAAATGAACCCGCGACTATCGTAAAGGTCAAGTATTTAAACTGGAACTCCACCAAGGTCATCTAAATGTTTAAGTTTAGCAAATAAATAAAGTTATAAAAGTAACGGTGTTAAAAGTAATTTACCGGACACTGGACAAACTACTTTCCTAGAAAAAAAAATGCTAAATTTGTTTATGGTTTTGAGTAGAACGCGAGTTACTTTATGGTGCAAATCAGCTTGATATTATGAGTCCAAGTTATAATGAATGTATTGAATGGGTAGAAGTGGCATTCATATTATATTTTCCTTTTTGAATGTACCACCGTCAAAATGTACCGTTCAAGGGGCAAAGGGATTGTTAGCAATGGAGTTCGACAGCCCCATTGCTAACAATATGCCCTGTTACGTCGACCTCCACGTGGTTCCCCCTGGAAACCATCGCGAACAATTCTTGTTGAATTCGTCACGATGGGCTAACTGATCTGTTTCATCCTCACCTATTATCTTTCACTGGTGCCCCGCCGGTGTATACCGATAGCCCAGGAGGGGTTACCATTCCATTATCCACCATGTTGAAGTTGGGAAGGTTCACACATTTTCTCGCATTTTATAAATATTTTACGGTACACAATTCGGCGCAATATCTTGTTCTGTTAATTTAATTATTTGTTTTTATATAGTAACTACTATTCCTGAGGACTCAGGTGTTATTCCTCTATACCTTGTAAATTCACTACCATATCGCATCCTTCAAACCGAAACACAGCCATGCAAACACAACTTTTTCACGGTAGAAACACGAATGGATCAGAGGTGCCCAAGCAAATGACTTTTTTGCAAAGTCTCCCTCTGGTATTTAAAGCACACAAATCACAACAAACATAGATAGACATAGATAGATAGATAGATATCTTGTAAGCGTTAAATGTGATAAGGTTACGGCCGCCTCAAGCAGAAACTTCGCCAACTAACACATCATGTCTTAACTGGATGTTAGGATAACCTATGAATGATGGAATGAGTTCCTTGCCGAGGTTTTCCCAAGAGACTACAGCATGGGGTTCTTCAAAAGGGGGGTAAAGAGGTTTCTTCAGGGTCGGCAACGCACGCTTAATACCTCTGGTATTGCAGGCGTTCATAGGCTACGGTAACCGCTTACCATCAGGTGGGCTGTATGCTTGTTTGCCACCTCAGTGGTATAAAAAAAAAACCTACTGACTGTAAGCTGGAGTATTCTGCATGGACAATGCTATCGTCAGCATAGCAGTGGATCTGGCCACAAGATCGTCAATCAATCATATCGTTAATGTGATCCCTGTGGGACACCAGCATTAACTCCTTTGAGATATAAGGCACTTCCGTCCACCAAGACACGGAAGCTCTTCTCTCTTGCGAGAATTCTGCTATCCAGTCACGAAGTCAGTCAGGTAGGCCATATGCCGAAAACTTGTAAATAACTGCCTTGTACCAGACCTTGTCCAACTTCTTCAAAGGTCTTTAAAGCTCTGCAATTTCATTGTTACTCGTATATGCTAACCTTTATAAACTAATTTAATATTTAAATTGTTAATATAATATAATTATAACAAATAAAAAAAAAACATTTAAACAATTCAACATAAGGCAGTGAAATTAATCAAAAAGGAATTCTATTTCCTCATAAAAAAAAAAAATCATGAAAACAAACTAGTTTTCATCGTAAAAACATCTGAACGTCACTAGCTCTCTACCCTAGAAATTACAACTACATGTTGTCCTTTCTCCAAATCGTCATAATTTCCCGTTCTCTCACCGCGGTGCCGCTACAAACAGTCGAGCCGAGAACTTCCGACTGGATAGCATACTACGACTACGTCTACGTCTCGTAAAAGAATAAAAAAAAAGTAAAGAAAAAAGAAAAATAAAAACCCGCCGTCGGCCTCTGTGGTAGCGATTCGAAAGTTCCACGTTTAAATCATAATTTTTCTTTTGTTTTAACAATTTAATGAATTAAATATAATTTTATAAATGGTCAGGTGAACTGTGCGACTCTCGTTTTGACTGTGTGTGTAAATAATAATATAATGTCGAGAGGGAAAATGGCGGGAACGGCGCTTATTTGTTTGGTAAGTTTATATTATTTGTAATATAATAAATAGAATTTGTGTTTCACAAAAAAAAATCAGTGGCTTCAAATGAGACTAAATATGGAACCATACTAAATCGGATTCCAAAAAGAATTATCAGAAAACGATTTAGAATGAGATGAAGACAGCAAAACTAATTTAGATAAGCGAAAAATGTACTTCAATAAATAAATATAACTTATTATTAAATTATAAATAAACATAATTTATCTATAAATGAACTCAATATGGAGTTATATACATAAAAGCTTTATTTTCATATTTTATTTTTTTAGTTAGCTTTTGCCAGGAACTTCTTATGCTCTTTCTCTCGTTTCACATAACTGATTGCAGCTGATTGTGCTGTAAAATGAATAAATAAAAAATCATTTAACTTTTCTGGACAGGCTCAGGTCTGGGTGTTCTGGGTTGTGCCCCAAGATGTTCGTTGCGTTGTTCCCCACAACACAGGGTATCATAGATTGAAGAGCAGGCGATTGGTGTAATTTTTGGGGCTCTTATTTTAATCACTTATTGTTAAATTTTTTTTTTTATCACCTACCTAAACCTTGCCTAGTCTAAATATTCCAGCAAATAAGATAATTTATAAAAATAAAAAAATATTGTTATTAACAACACCATATTTATTATAAATATGATTGTGTTTCACAAAAAAAAAAAAACCTTTAATTGTAGCAAAAGAAGTTATTTCGATTTTGATAAAATTTCTATAGGTTCTGAAGAAATTTGTAATTAAATTTTTAAATAATAAAACAATTTGTAAATAAAGTATATCATTTCAAGCAAAAAAAATTACAAATCGATTTAAAACTGAGTTATGTGCTAATAAATATAAAAATATATATCCGAATTAAGTACTTCCTTCTTTTGAAGTTGGTTGAGAATAGTTCATACATTTCATATTTGAAAGATTATTCTGCAATCAAATTTTATATGTCGATATTTAGGTTAAAATCTTTTTACAATGGTAATCACCTTTGCCTTCTGTAGTCGCTTGTTTTCGCTGTCGTTAAAAAAACAAACCACGTATCGTACGGCCGAGGTATAATGATCCACAAATAGCTTAGAAAGTGGCAAGTTATTCTTTTTTATTGCCTGCAAAAAACAAAAAAAGAATGGTCTCGTTTCGGTGCTAGTTAGTGGAACGATTTTGTGCCAACTAGGTCTAGCTGGTGTTGCCATTTCTATATCAGGTTTCGGGCTAAAACGAATCAAAATAAGTACAACTTGCAGTGTACTTAATAATAAAAATATTGACTTTTTGTTTCTTATTTACAAAAGTCATACAGACGAATAACGATTTGTTATTCACGAACACTCAAGTTATGGAATACGTTCCCTGTCGAGGTTTTTCCAAAAGACTACAGCATGGGGTTCTTCAAAAAATGGGTAAAGAGGTTTCTTCAGTGTCGGCAACGCGCACGTAATGCCCATAGACCATAAATTTTGCTTTACCAGAAATTATTTTTTGCTCTGCTAAGTAAAAGAACTGTTTCAACTGTATTTAAATAAATATAAGACGAACTTGAGAGTAAAACCTATTGATATTAAGATTTTTGCGCGCGATTCCCTCGAGAAATCATAGCAGTTAATTCATAGTAAAGTATCATGATGGGTCTACTGATCAGCTTCACCTATCATTACGTACTGGTACCCTGTCAGCATATTGCGATGGCTCGATGGCGGAACATACTATTTTCATCCATTCTCCTTCATGCTCAGTACTGTGCTCCTTCTTCTTGTTCAGTACAGTGGCCTTTCTCCATGCTCAGCAGGGTGATACCACCTCTATATACATATATCTAATATATATAGAATATATCTGATAGACACCTCTGTCCCATTCGTGTTTCTACCGTGAAGCAGGTGTCTATGCATGGTTGTGTTTCGGTTTGAAGGGTGGGATATGGCGTGAATTTACAGAGTACAGAGGAATAACACCTGAGTCCTCAGGAATGGCAACGCATGGGAAGTATCATGGGCGAAACAGTATACACTGTTATGTGCATGGTATTGCTCATGTCTATAGGCGACGGTTACCTCTTTCCATCAGGTGACCCTTCAGATGTTTGCCATTCTAAGTTGCACAAAAAATGCTCAGTACTGTCTTTCTCTATGCTCATATTGCAGTCCATCTTCATGTCAAATACTGTGGTCCTTCCTCCTACTCAGTACTGTGGCCCTTCTTCATGCCAAATACTAGAGTTCCTCAACATATGCCATGTTTCGTGACGAATGCTTAAGCCGTTATAATGGCGTGATCTATTAAACTCGTATTAACATGTATTAGTAAGGATTCCTATATAGATAATAAATGATGATGCCACAATAAAAATCGACATAAACAATATGACACAGATATTTTTTACGGAATGTGGGTGGAATGGCATCACTCGTTCACTCCGGTATCTGATACCGTTCCGAGCCAGTGCCGTTAGCGTTGAATATTGTATGAGACTTGAACGACGCTAAGTAATCGATTGCACACGTCTTATCGAATCGAATGAGAAAATCGATCGATTTATGAAAAAAGTTAATTTTCGTATACTGACGGGGTATTTTAATGTAATGTAAATTGAACTCTCTTTCCCGCGCTTAGCCTGTCATTTGGGCCGTTGTGCGTATGAGTCGTGGCTAGTACAGCCAACCCAGCTCCGCCCAGAAGCATAGAAGCTTCTTGGGATCTTCATAGGCCTCGTGGAGCGATCTCACTATTCCGAGGATTTCTAAACGTTGATGGGCTTCAGTTTCATATTCCAGGATTAAGTGAATAGTCGTTTCTTCGGCGTCGACGGTAGTATGGTGACGGGGTAAGAACACAATGGAACATCAGCTCATCATAAAAGGCTACCAAGAAAATAAAGCATAAAGATGCTTAGCCACTAAATAATTAAAGACTAATATCTTTCTTGGGTCTCAGAGACTCGTTTCCTGTAGTAGAACGGTAAATGGTTTATTTAGGTATAGTTATGTATTCTAAAATGCGCATGCGCTTTAGAATACATCCGGAGTTAGATTTATTATTTTGTCTATGGTTAGACTAAGAAATCAATGTCTTACCTTTCATCCTACGGTTTCTGGAACTTTACAAGAGAATTCTTTTGATTCTCGAGTAAAATTTGCGAACTGTTTATAAGTCGTGCTTGTTGTTTTTATATTTAAAGGTTGTAGCTCGTATTTTGTGCTCTCTTTTTTACACTAACTTTATCTTGGCGCACATTTTTTTAAGGACCGCAATCTGCACAAACGAAAACCTTTAACGTTCGTTATGTCAAAATTAACATAGATTTATGATACGATTATGTACGCCGAGTTAAAATACGTACTTATTTATTGTACATATATTTAATTACTATATAAATATACTTTAAATAATTACATTTGTTAGTAAATGAGTACTTACCGGCAAGCGTAAGCAGGAACTAAAATAGTAACATTTAAATAACATTACCAAAACATTGCGTTGAACACACGAACCGTTAAGCTTTCGCGAATGGTATTCACGTGCAAGACATAGTATTGTTTTTGGTCCTACGTAAACAGTTCGCCAATTAGGGTCACTGCTAATGATGATTCATCTTGTTTACTACACCAAATACATTTTGCTCCCACGACAACAACAAATTCAATGGTGACAAAATATTGACTCTCTTATTTCCACTCCACTTTCCATCAGCTTGTTTGCCAATTTATGACGCGCAATCATGTTCCTATAGGTAGATTTTGCTCCACAAAGGAAAACAACGGGGTCGATTCTCATGCGTCATTTCTCATAACTTATCTTTTAAGCCAATATTTTAATTTGATAATTTTGCGAAATTACTATATTATGGGCCATCATAAAGTATTTTTATGATAATCTTCTATCTTCTGTACAACGGATTGTGTTCTGAAGAACTCTATGATGCCTACAGTCACCTTTCACCATCGTACTGCTCTTCATCGGTAAGGAATCCATCCTCACACCTTAGAACCAGAACGGTCACCCACAGTGCAGTTTCAGAGGAGCTTCCCCCCGCGAACACTCAGGTTGTGAATTGATCTTCCTGCCGATACTTTCTCTAGAGAATACAGCATGAGTTTCTTCATAAAGGCCCACGGTAACTCCGTCTACCATCAGACGGGTCGTACGCTTGTTTGCCATCATAGTAGTATAAAAAATAGACTTAAATCTATTAGAAATTAAGTTCATATTGGTTCTTAGAATAAAGCTCTCGCACAAAACACACAGAAACTAAATTTATACAAATTGAGCACTTGTTCCTATTTAAAGTCTTTTTTATACAACATAGAATGGCAAACAAGCTGACAGCCCACCTGATAGAAAGTGGTAATCGTCGCCTATAGACATGAGCAGTACCATGGACATAACAAAGTATACTGTTTCGCTCATGATACCCCCCATGCGTTGCCATTCCTGAGGACTCAGATGTTATTGTTCTGTACCGTGTAAATTCACTGTCATATCTCAGCATTCAAACCGAAACAGCCATGCAGACACAACTGCTTCACGGTTGAAACACGAATGGGACAGATGTACCCAAGCAAACGACTTTTGTAGAGTCTCCCTCGACTAAAAATAGTTTTAATTGCATAATAACTGCTCGTATTTCATATATACCTATACATATTTATGCAATGACTCAAGAGGCGTAATACCTTGATTTTAAAGAGTATTTTATTATAATGATTTGGATAGATTATTTAACAGTCATTATTCAGTAGTCGATAGTTATCATTCAGTAGTCACTGCCCTTTATGGGAAACTTATTTTGTTTTTTTTTATTGTATGAAAATGGAGTGGTAACCCCGCCTGCGCTAACGGGATACGCTGGCTGAGCACCAGTGAAGGGTGATCGATGAGGATGAAAACAGGCCAGTTAGCCCATCATGATGAGTTCATCAGAAATTAACCATGATAGTTTCCAGGGAAAACAGTGAGGAGGTCGACCTGGTTGGGTATATTGCTAGCAATGGGA